TGTATTAAATTAAGAGGGGGAATAATTTACTGCTGTTTGAGACTCCTGGATACACAGCACTGTTAATCTCAGTCTTCTTGAATTGTAAATTAAGCCTCCCCAAATCATGAGATTGTTTTCTTTTCATAGGTCACTCCTAAAGTAATGCCTTCTACACACTTCCATAGAGACTACAACAGATACAAAGAGCACGATAACACTATTTGACAGAGCAAATTCTCTGAGCCTTTCAAACACTACTTTCCAACATAGTCACTAGCATTAGCTCTGCATCTTTGTCAGCAATGAACAAGAGCCTGCATGCCCCGTTCACTAAAATCTGCACTGCACATAACCTGCACATAACCTGCACATAAACCCACTGTTGTTGTCACCATTGCTGAAATCTACCATGCAGATTGTGACAGGACAAGGGGGAATGGCTTTAAACTAAAAGAGAGGAGGCTGAGGTTAGATGTTAGGCAGAAATCCTTCACTCAGAGGGCGGTGAGGCCCTGGCACTGCTGCCCAGAGCTGTGGGTGCCCCATCCCTGGAGGTGCCCAATGCCTTTGATGGGGCCCTGCTCAGTCTGAGCTGGAGGGCACCCAGCCCATAGCAGTAGTTGGGGCTGGATGGGCTTTAAGAACCCCTCCTACCCAAGGCATTGCACGATTCCGTGATTCACCAAAATGGCTACTTGAGTGGGACGAAGGAGCAAATGACCATCACCCTGCCAAGGCCTGAGTGACTCTTTCCTCTGCTCAACTCGCAAAGCAAGAGAGAGGAACAAACCTCCTTCCTCATCCCTCCTACTTCCCCAGTTCCCTCATCATTAGGGAATGAAAAAGTCAATATTGAACGTGTTGAAATGAAGCACAAGGAATGAAATGCCTCCCTGGCTTGCCAGAGGGTGCTGAAAGAGCCACGCGTAAACCTACATTTTCCAGAGTCTCAGTCAGCACAGGGTGACTATTTTAGCTGGCCAGTATGCAGTGAAGGAGCCTGATTTCAAGATGTAATTTGAAATTGAAAGGGGAAAAATCACCTTTAAGTGCCTCATAGCTTGGCCTCTCCTGACAGAGTTTCAGAAAGCGTCTGGCCATTTGGGAAATTCAAGAGGTGGGAATAAAGAGAATTTCCCATTTGGGAAACTCAAGAACAAGGGCCAAGGGACACAAAGTGGAACACAGGCAGTTCCATGTGAACGTGAGAAAAACTTCTCTGCTGTGTGGGTGGCAGAGTGCTGGAACACATTACCCAGCGAGGTGCTGGAGTTCCCTTCTCTAGAGATATTCAAAGTCCACCTGCATGCTTTCTCTGCAACATTTAATCTGTTTGAGAAATAACCTTTTTATTTTTAATTCAATTAAAACAGGCATAATCAATAGGCACTCAAACACTCCTTTCCTGTGTACCAGCAGCACAAGACAGTTACCTTGACCTACCGGGTACAGTGGTGCCTGAGGGAGGCTGAATTAAGCCCTAGTGATGACTTATGGTGCACAGTGCTTCCCAAGCACAACCACTGTGATTTATGACCACTGAGATTACAAAGATTTTGTTGGGTAGCGAAGAGTGATGGTTGATGTCCCTCTAAACGCTTATCATCTCTGGCAGCTTAATTGAAGCCCGTTAACAGATGCAATGGAACTTGGAAATATTTCTCTTGCTAGCAGTCCTCAGTGAAGCAGAGAAGCCCAGCCTTGCTGTTGTTTTTCTGTTTTCAAGTATTTCCCTTTGAAGTCAGAGGGTGCAGAAATGACCTTCCTGAAAGAAATACACTACAAAAGGAGCATACGATTCAGGCATCTGATGGTTGCACTGGGCACACGCATCTTTAACAGGGTTCATCTCCAGCAGCTATGGATGTCCATGGCCTCGAGTGACTTTAGGAAAGATTAAGGCACACATGCAGCAGCAGGTCCTCTCGCAGCAGCTGAACTGGGTTAGCCCCTCCTCAAGCTCCATGCTCCACGGTGTTATCTTTTTCTAGGGAAAGCCGCGGTGCTGGGTAGAACTTAAATTATACCCTATGGAAGCTGGCTTGCTCCTCTGATGGAGGTTGTAATGAGGGAGTCGGGATTCCAGTTATAGCTTGGCACAGCAGATGCAGCTGGGTTTGCTAGATGATAAAAACACAGCCTTGTCTCAGGAATGCTGCAGAAGTGAGGCACGCAGGCAGTGTTGTTTTTTTTTTCCTTTCAGAGCAGTCCTTTAACTCTGGCTGTACTGTGCAACAGTTGTTCCCATTGGGAAATCAATATTTACAGAGTAAACAGTGAGGGGACGTGGTCTGGGTGCCATCCCAGCAGGTAACAGACCTGCTCTGTTCACTCCTGCACCTCCAACCCCTGGAAAACGTTACTCTTTTCTCCTCCGGTGTTGCAGTAGTTTTTCATTACCAGTGATGAATACTGATTTATATATACTCTGCTCTGTATGTTTCTCAAGGCCTATTTGTGAGAAAGAAGGAGGTGGTTGGAATATAGGATGTTACAGAATATAATTTCATTCCAATAGTACTCACAGCTCACCTCTTCCAGTCAGAATTCAAGGCCTCGTGCACAGAATTAGCCATCCCCTCAAACAGAGCAAGTTATCATGGAAAGTAATCATAGAATCATAGATCATTAGGGCTGGAAAAGACCACTAAGATCATCTAGTCCAACTATCAACCAAACCCCAACATAATCAAAGCCAGCATTCCATATATATCAAGCTTCCAATACAACCCACATACCAGGGACCTCCCCAGGCCCCTGCAATCCTGATGCTTGCAGAGACCTTCATAGAGGAGACAAATGCAAGAAGCTGCAGCCCACCAGAGATCAGCACAAACCCGCCAGGAAGCACTGTGCCCACCAGGCACTGCTGATGGAGATGGCTGTGGGTGCAACAGAACTCCCTGTTGTCGTCCGCCTGAGTCCACCTCTGGCTTTGCAGCAATACTCAGCTCTGGCTGTGCAACATAGCCCAGCACTGTGTTCCCTCTCATTTGCAGAAGCAACTTGCAGCTGTAAGAAAAATGTTTTCTCTCTAATCTGTATTTACGCAGGATGGAGATAAAGACATTCCTCAGCAATCACTTAATCTCTCTTTGTGCTGACACCACCAGCTTTGCTCAGCCCAGTTCCGAAGCAGCCATACGTACTGCAAACAACCCCCAACAGAGGCAACTGAAGGGCAGCCCCTTCTTCTGGAAGCTCTGGAAGTTTCAGGCATGTGATGTGAAGCATGAAGCCTGTTCTCAGCTCGGCTCCCGCTCCCAAGGCAACTGCGTGCAGACATGCCATCCCTGCCTCAAGCCCGACTCACGCAAGCAAGCTCCCTGCAAGCTCTAAGCCCACGCCTGGCCCTAAAGGGTTGGAAAAACAGGAAACCCTTTCAAAGGTGTCTGAGGATTTGATGTTGACGTTTGAATTTCCCTTTTGCATCACTATAACTTTTTTGTTTAAGCACTACGAAGTGCTGCGAAGCTGATGGTTATTTCTAGTTGGAGACGTTGTGCTTTTGGAAGTAAAGCCAAGGAGGACAGAAATAAAAATGTTTGAAGGCACTTCAGTGCACTAGACAAGCATTCAGCATGAGAAGCTGAGCCCTGAGGGGAAAGCATATCTCACGTACCAATGGCTAGCAAAGGCAAAGCTGTTCTGCCTAGCAACAGTTTCAGTGCTGTGTAGTTGCAGGAAATGATATAATGTACTCATCAGTAGAAACAGAGTTCTATCGCTGCAACGATGATCTGGAAGGAGCTGGAAGGACAAAACAGACAGCACTGCTGGGCATGCAGCATCCCTGCTCAGCCAGGCCTAACAGCAAGCAGAGGGGTTGCTCAGCATGGCTGCAGGAGCTGCAGGAACAGGAGCAGGCTGAGAGCATCCTGTAGGTGGGAAGCAGCCCTTGGAGAAGCAACTGGCAATGCGTTCGTCAACAATGCTGCATCTGGAGCTGGACACTGGAAAAATAACCTCACTTGGTCTACTAGTATAATACACCTGGTGAAACTCCATCCTGCTTGTCACTCAGTGCAGCACATGTCAGCGTCCTGTCCTGTGTTTGCATTCCATCAGAACCAACTTCCTGAGACAATGGCATCCTTTGCCCTGGTGGACACAGAAAGGAGGCATTTCCTCAGGAGAAGTTCATTTAGAATGTTGGACACACAAAACAAAGTAGGAAGAGCGGGCAACCTTTTCAGTGATCTGGGAAAGTATTATGGGGCAAGACCTGTTTTGCTGAAGGGAAGCATTTTCCCTAGGCACTGCATTTGTTTGGCCAGAGCTCTGCATGCAGAGGCATTCGGGACTGGGTCTCCGGAGCTCTTTTTTTAGAGGGTAGAGTCTGGGGAATGAACATTACAGTTTGTTAGAAAACCACTAGTGTTTCTACAGCACATATTTAATAAAGATAGCTTACGTCTGGCTGAAAGTTAAATACCTTTTAACTCTGCACTTGGTGTTCGTGGAATATACTGTGTGGTCTGTGCCTGACCTACGCCTGAATTAACAATGTGCCTACAAAGACTTGTGCCTCTGAGACACGGAGAAACGTGAGGCAATCAGAGAAGCAAATTCACGGCCAGTGTAGCTTGGCAGGCACCAGTGAACCCATCGGAGGTGTACCAAACTTAGGCGAATGGGAGTTAGCCGGTGTAGTTGAGGGGTTAGCTAAAATTTTTGTGAAGGTCAGAGTAAGAAGCGAATGCTGAACTCAGGGAGTTTCAGACCATTGCTGTTGCGCAAAGATCGCCCTGTCCTCAGGGAGAGATTCCTCCATGGAAACGGTGCACAGAGCACTTCGACCCCAGCTCTGCAGCTGCGCTGCCAACATGGTGCAGAAAGGGGAGGGAGACAGACAAACTCAGAGCCATGCAGAATTAAGTCAGGGTCATCTCATCCAGATGGGCTTTCTGTGCCAAGTGTAGCCCACTCGTCACAGAGAAGGTGAAGGCGATGTTCTTGGGCTACTTGACCCCTGCAAAATGGGGAGGAGCTAGGAAGGGATTCAGGTTGACAGAAAGTGTTTCCGAGCTTTTCACTAACACACCAAACATGGGCATACATCAGGATAAAAACAGAAGGAAAAGGTGAATTTTCCTTGTACAGGATTTTAGGGATTGGCATGAAAGGCAGTACTGCGTTGTCCCAGGGTAGCAGTATGAATCCTGCCAGCCTACAGACTGAGCAGGTGACGTCCCTCCATCTGAGTAATCTCCAGGTGCCCTTTCTCCTCCACGGGACTGCCAGCTGTCAGCACAAGTGAGAGCCCAGGGTTTTTCTCAATGCCTGCTGTGCTTCTCAGCGCCTGCCACGCTTGTCTCAGCGTGCTCCGCGTTTTGCTCAACGCACTCCAGACCGGCCAGTCTTCCAGTCAGGTTGAGTTTCAGGTCCCTGTTGGTTCTCTTTCCCGTGTCCCTGTTCGGGCGCCAATTGTTGCAACAGGGCCTCAAGCTCGAAAGAGCTGCTGACTCCTTTGCTTTGGTGCGGAAGAAAAGACTTTAAGTGCTTACCATCTTTTACACCCGCGCAACACAACAGTTTCCCCACGTAACCAAGACTGGTGACATGTGAGGGCTAGGCGATTGTGAGTGTATAGGTCTGGCTCAAGTTATTGTTGAGTTTTGCCATTTATTAGAAATACAACAACCTTCTTTATCCCATAGGAGATGGCTGCCCCAGTTCGCAGAAAACACCTCGGGGCAATTCCCAGTGCCTACGGAGCGGTGTCCTCTCCATGCCCTGCGTGCTCGTCCGTGGGACAGTGCGCGTCTCTCATCTCCCATAGAGCAGCGTGGCTGTGAACCGATCGTGCAGCTCCGCCAAATCCTGCAGCGCCCGCTCGTATTTGTCCGGTTCCTCCTCCAGGTGCTGGAACATGTTGAGCGGTGGGGAAGCTCGGAACTCTTTTGGCAAGATAATCTCCTCAGGCAACGAGTCGTTTCCTACGATGAAGTGGTCCAGGCGTTTCTCCTCCACGCAGCAGTGCAGGTAGTTCAAGATGTCATCCATCCGCAGCAGGAAAGCCCTCCCGTGCCACCTTTGCAAAGGAATGGTATTCAGGAGGTGCATGATCACTGTCTTCATGTCGTAGATGGTAAACTTGAGGCTCGCCATGAGATAGCCACACAGTTGCAGATATCTGAGGTAGAATTTGCCCCCCCGGGGGTGGTTGGCTACATACTGCAGGAACTTTTTCTCTGCCACAACACAGCTCTGTGGCCAGACCGTGCTGGGGGTACGACGATACACTATCTCATGGCTGCTCAGAAAGATGTCCGTATCATCCTGCTGGACGCCAAACACAAACTCAACGTAGAAGATTCTTTTGTTGACATCTCTCACATGAAGCCTGCAGGAGCGCCTGGACTTCACCGTGTCTATCTCCATGGTGAACTCTGAGACGTGCATGAGTTTCCAGGCTTTTTTGATCAGCTCCTGGAAGCAGCGGGCAGTCTTCTGCGCGTCTAAGTGGGACGTAGTGCAGAGGCTGTGCAGGAGGCTGGGCTGCTGCCTTTTCAGCTCTTTGGCGGAGGTGTGGAGGAAGCACCGCATGCGCATCTCCTGCTCCCTCTTGCACGTGCATTCCAGCTCTACACGGATACGGGAGTACATTGCTGGTACCTCGCCTGTGGTGCCCAGATCCAGGTGGAAAGTGTGCCCACGGGGGGCCAACAGGGGCACAAGCAGGCTGAAGACAGGTACGTTTCTAACGGGACACCAGCCTTCGAAGGTACTGCCCACCTTGATGAGACGCTCTGGCACTGGGTAGAAAGTATCTGATACCATATTTCGGCATATATCCATGACGCCACACATCAGCGAGTACATCACTTCACAGTCCTCTTGATGGCTTCGGACTGTCCAGAACACATCGAGAGAAAAGACACCGTCATCCTCCTCTTCCTCCTCTTCCTCCTCCTCCTCCTCCTCCTCCTCCTCCTCCTGCTCCTTCTCAATGCTGGAGCTCTCCTCATCACAGGTGTCTTCAACTCTACGGAACTTTATACAGATCATCCACATGAAGCAATACAGAAGGATGGGAAGACAAAAAACAAAGCAGCGAAGCAGGGCTTGAGTGCCCATCGTGCTCAGCGCCGTGTTCTTCTCTTCCATCTCCAGCAGCAGCTTTGTCATCTGCTCTTGCAGATACACCTCACGCTGCTGCATGCGGTCGAGCGTGTCCACATCCAAATCACCAACTAATGGTATTCTCTGCGCCAACAAGGCGAAGAAAAACGCCAAAGCCATGATCTGGAAGAGGGGAGAGAGGGGAGGTCAGTGGGGCTGGGGGGGAGCTTGCGCTGGGGTCAGGGAGGAGCAGGAGTGAGGGAGCTGGGGGGCAGCAAGGGCCGAGGCCGGCGCTGGTGGTGACTGCCCGCAGAGCTGCTCGCAGGCTCCCTGAGAGCTCGCTGCCACCACTGCAGGCTCCCAAACCTCTCGCGGGCCAGCATTTGCGCCCGGCCCAGCACAGCCCTCCCCCTGCTGCTGTACTCACCGCTGGCCCAGGCCAAAGTGGAGCTTGGCTGCCTGCTCACGGCCTCAATACCAGCCCCGCACTGTGATGCACCGCGATGTCACAATGCCCCGGCCCCACCCTTCAGCCCCACCCAGCTGCCCAGGGCCCCATGGCCCTGCCATCGGCCCTGTTCTGAGGCACGTGGCCGGACTGAGCTCCCACTAAGTGAGCAAACTCTTTGTCAAACCCCTTGGGAACTCGCTAAGAACTGCAGCCACTGCTGTTGAACTAGAAGTTGATGCATTGGTTTCACCAGAACAAAGTCACATATACCACTAGCTGTATGTTTTTGTGGCTGTTTTTTACCTTTTAAGAAAACTTACACATCCATAAAATAAGTTTTGCACCTCATCTACGGTAACTATACAGCCCGGCACCTGCCTGCACTCCTGGTTATCTGGAGAGGTTCCAGAGGGTTGGAGGCTTGCCGATGTGATGCCATCTACAAGAAGGGCCGCAAGGAGGATCCTTGCGGAGCCTCTCAGCCTGTAGTTGCTCCAGTACCAGTTGGTCCATTTGTCAGCCTGGTACCGAGGTCAAGCTGACAGGCCTGTAGCCCCCCTGGCAGCGTTCAAGTGGCGTCTGGATGAGGAGCTAAGAGATATGGTTTAGTAGCTTGTGGTAGCAGTGGTGATGGGAGAGCGGTTGGACACGATGATCTTGCAGGTCCTTTCCAACCTTGTGTTTCTGTGATTCACAAGGGCTTCTCCGGCTTTTGCTTTCAGCAAGGACCCAGTCTGGGCACACCTTGAATTCCCTATCAAAGTGTGTTAGATTTACACTGGCACAAACAATGAGGACAGAAGGCTGGCAAGCTCGATGAGCTGCTAATGTAGCACAGCTTAGGTTTCAGCTTTCTGCCTTTGTATCACTGGAGCCTTGCAGGGGAAGACTGGCTCACATGTGGGGCAGAGTGACTTTTATCAGCTACATGCTAACAGCTGCCCAGAAGGCCTTCTGTCCCACCTAGTGTCTTCCTGTGGACAGGAGACTCAATGCAGAAGCAGCTTTCCCATTGGTGGCATGGGAGCACGGGTCAGAGCAGTGCCAGCAGAAGCAGCCATGAACAGCAGCGGACGTTCTGCCCAGTGACAAATTTAAGCTAATTACCTGTGAGAAGTGACCACATGAGATCCTCACAACCACCCTGCCGTGTAGATTTGCCCCCTGGGCCCTCTCCCTGGCCTCAACATGCCCATTTTCTCCAGCTGAGGGTCACCCAGGGGAGAAGTTCTCCTCTGGGTGACCCAGGAAGGCCCACAGCTGAACTAACCAGAAATCTTCACCCAAATCTTATACTCAGGCACCACCAAACAGCTCTGAAATCACTCAGCAGTGAACAGTCCTCTGTGTTAGCAACTGTGAATACGGAGACACATCAGAGCAACAGCAACGTGCGATGTGTGCTGTGGGACCAGCTCAGACCTGTAGCTGGGGAGGCAAGAGAAATGACAGAGATATTATTTATTATGGACGGAGCCAAAAAAAAAAAAAAAAAAACCATCCTCCAGGCCTGAGTGTTTCATTTGTTTCTCTGCTAAAGAGAAGTCACCACTAATGACAGGATGAACAGCTCCACAAAGCACATACTATGCAGCCAAAGGTCCTCATTACAGTGAAAGCCGACTCCCCCATTGCAGAGCAGGGCCTGAACCAACACTACCTGTGCTGCTGCAGGTGCTGCAAGCTTTCCCCAGCCTCCTGCCTGCCTGGCCATGCGAGGAAGCACAATGTGCAGGTAAAAGGCCATTGGCAGCACGCAACAGCCATACATCTCAGAAACAACAAGCATTTATTATTGGTTCATTTAACAGAAGGACTTGGGTTGGACTTTGCCTCTTCCAGTCTCTGCCTAGATCAGTCTCACAGGGGCACCTCAGCCCCTCTCTTTCCACTGCTTTGATGTGTGATTTTAAGGGTTTTAAGGGGACACCCACTCTCTCTTCCCTGCCCAGCCTACCTCTGGGGCTGGAAGAGCAGCTGATCCCCCGTAGCTTTAACCAGAAAGCAGGCAGGGTTGTGCAATAGGGTAACTGCACTGTGCCATCCTGCCCACGGGTTAGCTGCCTGCATCATTCCCAAGGCCGTGTCCCAGCCTGGCAGGAACTCTCACCTGTATGGCTGCAGTCAACTCAGCTGCCAGCAGCTGGGCTGTGTCCTGCCCTGGATTCATCCTGCCATCCGTTCAGGGAGTAGCAGTAGAACGCAGAGTGGAAACTGGAAGGGACTTCAGCCATTCAATCCTCTTCGTGAGGGGGTTTTCTCTGCCTTTTTCAGCTCCCATGGCCAGCTTAAACCTTAACCTATACCAGCAAAAGTGATAAAATAATAGTAACATAATAGGAATGCACCTTTTTCAATAATACGTATTAGTACACAATAATACTATTGTAACAGTACTATTGTTTAACAAGGAATACTGAAACAATACGGGGTCATAACACTTGCACAGCAGTTTCCATTAATTGCTACACGAAACATGCATGATTCCAGGAAGCATTCTGCTTGGAAATAGCAAGTTTTCCACCATTCCCCACCAGTGCTTGGTGTACATGTTCTTTTAAGCTGCTTGCAAGCGCAGGCTGTGATTCATGTGGCTAGGAGTGCTGTGACTTCTCCATTCACTGGCTCACCCTGATTTAGATCCGTGCAGTCTGTGATCTGCCTTCAGCTGACCAAACATCTCTTGCAGCTCATAATTCTTAACTCGGAGCAGGCAAAGCGTGTGAACTAAGGGGATCACCGCATTTTCTGCAGGAAGGTTTAGCCCTGGCACAAACAAACCACCCAAACGTCTGCAGGCCTCCATCTGGTTCAAGTTTATCCTGCAGAGCTGCCACTCACGCCTTTGGTGATGCTGGGAGCTCTCGTGTCTGCCCTGCAACTTGCCTGCTCTGGGCCAGCCAGGTCTTTCACTGCATGGGCGTGTTTCACTCAGCTCTGCCTTTTGCATTGGATTAATGGATTAACCCCTAATCTTTGCAGTGACCTAACTTGTAGCCTGACTGATGGCTCCACTTGTTTTCTTGCAACACAAGAGAAGGGATCACCATACCAAACAAACAGCTGCTGGAGAGAAGGAAAGAAACTCAGCAAGTAGTTTATGGGCTACTTCTGTCTTCTGTTCCACAATAGGTGTGATTTGGTGTGGCTAAACATTCGGAGAGGGTTGTTTCTCCCTCATTCCCACTACTGCAGGATCTGGTTGCTTTAACAAGTCTGTGGACCAGCTGCAGGCTCTGGAAGATTGACCTTTTGCAGAAGGCAAGAGCGTCATCAGCCATTCACTTATTAAGCCACTTCAGGTGCGTAGAGGAATACAGAAATCTCTGGCTCCAGCTGGAGGCAAGTTCACAGCAGTTGCACAGTGTATCAAGGTGCATGAAAACACATATTCCAAAGAAAAGAGAATGGGAAGAGCAGAGACCAAAGAGACTTTCACATGTAGTCTGTCCCAGCAGAAAGCTGTTCCTCCTTGTCTTTCAAGTACTGAGACAGGATGCTGCTCCCCTCTCTCCATCAATGTTATCAAGTCATTGAGTCTTGTAATGTATTAACCCTCCTTGACATTGTGAAACAAGACGTCAGTTTGACTGAACTACTGCCCCAGAAGTTAAGCGCAAAGCCTGGCTGCTCTGTTAGAGGTAAAGCTGAGTCAGTGCAGTGCCTGCCTTCTCCGGCTGGGCAGGGAAGGAATCAGCTGGGCTGATTGCAGGGCCAAACTTCTGCTTTACTGCATGGAGTGAGTGGAGTGCCTCAACAGAGACCAGCATCCTTACAGAGGGCTGATGGCCAGCCAGTTCAGCCCTCTTTCTGTCTTCTGGTGGGTGAAGCAGTGCTTGGGCAAGGAGATGTGTGATGGGATGCTGGCACACAAAGTCATGCAGTAGGGAGCAGTGGCAGTCCAAGGCAATGTATCAGTGAGCCCATCTGGCAGAGACTCATCCTGATGGGGCATCACCACGGCTAGAAGCCAGCTCTGATGAAATTCACAGGGAATGCTCAGGCACTGGAGGAGGCAGGCTGCATTCCTCCATCGGTTCACAATGAGAGACCAGAGAAGTCCAGACAGCAGACGCAGGGTTGCCCACATCCGTTTTAAGAGCTTAGTCATTTCCTTGAGCACAGTGGAAAAGTTTCAACATATTTCAAGGGCTGGGACCTCAAAGGAGTACCTGTGAACTCATCCCAGATAGCGTGATGCAGTCACCCAGCGACAGGTACAAGCGGCCAAAGCTGGCAGAGTAGGCAAGAGGTGTGAGAACACAGAAAGCCATCAGAAGACGTCTGAGATTGTCCTTGCAAACAGGGCTTGCAGCAGAGTTTGTGGGATCTGACGTTAAGCGGCTGGGATTTCCCGAGACTATAAAACTGCAATCAAACGTCTCCTCGGGCTCGGTCTCATCTCCTGAGAGGAAGGGCTTGAGGCGTTTTTCCTCCGCGCAGCACTGTAGGTGCTGCGAGACGCCGTCCAGGTCCCTGCGCGGCACCACAGCGACTCCTAGCGGCAGAGAGAATCTTAGAATCGCAAGCTTGGAAAGGACCTGCAAGATCCTCACGTCCAACCGCCCTGCCATCACCACCTGCCACCACAAGCACTAAGCCACAACTCGCAGCACCTCATCCAGACGCCTCTCCAACACTGCCAGGGACGGCGACTCCTCCAGCTCCTTGGGCAGGGCACACCAGCATCTGACAGCTCTCTGAGAGAAAAAGCTTTTCCTTATGTCGAACCTAAACATCCTCCAGGCCTGAGTGTTTCATTTGTTTCTCTGCTAAAGAGAAGTCACCGCTAATGACAGGATGAACAAAGCTCCACAAAGCACATACCGACATACACAGCACATACACAGTCACCAAGCCTGGGGGTGTTCAAGGAAAGGCTGGATGTTGTGTTGAGGGACATGGGTTAGTAGGAGCTATTGGGAATAGGTGAACGGTTGGACTGGGTGATCTTTTAGGTCTTTTCCAACCTTGGTGATTCTATGATTCTATACTATGCAGCCAAAGGTCCTCATTACAGTGAAAGCCGACTCCCCCATTGCAGAGCAGGGCCTGAACCAACACTACCTGTGCTGCTGCAGGTGCTGCAAGCTTTCCCCAGCCTCCTGCCTGCCTGGCATATGCATCTATAAAATCAGTTTTGTAACTCACCTACGGTAACTATACCGCCATCATCTGCCAGCGCTCCTGGTTATCTGCAGAGATCCCAGAGGGTTGGAGGCTTGCCGATGTGATGCCATCTACAAGAAGGGCCGCAAGGAGGATCCGGGAAACCACAGGCCTGTCAGCATGACCTCGGTACCAGGAAAAGTTACGGAGCGAATCATCTTGGGTGAGATCACACGGCACGTGCGTGGCATCCAGGGGACCAGGCCCAGCCAGCACGCGTTCATGAAAGGCAGGCCATGCTTGATCCACCTCATCTCCTTCTATGACTGGGTGAGCAGCCTGGCAGAGAGGGAAAGGCTGTTGATGTATCTACCTAGACTTCAGCAAAGCCTTGGACACGCTCTCTCGCAGTATTCTCCTGGGGAAACTGGCTGCCCGTGGCCTGGACAGGTATGCCCTTCTTTGGGTAAGGAAGTGGCTAGAGGGCCATGCCCAACGGGGAGTGGTGAATGGAGTTAAGTCCGGCTGGCGACCCATTTCAAGTGGTGTCTCCCAGGGCTCGTGGTCGTACAACATTTTGCACGTCAGATAGAATCAGTATTAGTGGGCAAATGTGCTAGAGTATCACTAGGGGCATTATTACGTACTGACCCTCGAGAAACAACTTGCAGAATCACAGAATCACAGAATTGTAGGCTCTAGAGATCATCGAGTCCAACCCCCCTGCCAAAGCAGGTTCCCCACACCAGGTTGCACAGGTAGGCGTCCAGGCGAGACTTGAATATCTCCAGAGGAGACTCCACAACCTCCCTGGGCAGCCTGCTCCAGAGCTCCGTCACCTCACTGTAAAGAATTTCTTGCGCACATTCGTTCAAAACTTCCTATGCTGCAGCTTGTGCCCATCATGTAGATGGCATCACATCGGCAAGCCTCCAACCCTCTGGAACCTCTCCAGATAACCAGGAGTGCAGGCAGGTGCCGGGCTGTATAGTTACCGTAGATGAGGTACAAAACTTATTTTATGGATGTGTAAGTTTTCTTAAAAGGTAAAAAACAGCCACAAAAACATACAGCTAGTGGTATATGTGACTTTGTTCTGGTGAAACCAATGCATCAACTTCTAGTTCAACAGCAGTGGCTGCAGTTCTTAGCGAGTTCCCAAGGGGTTTGACAAAGAGTTTGCTCACTTAGTGGGAGCTCAGTCCGGCCACGTGCCTCAGAACAGGGCCGATGGCAGGGCCATGGGGCCCTGGGCAGCTGAGTGGGCCCGAAGGGTGGGGCCGGGGCATTGTGACATCGCGGTGCATCACAGTGCGGGGCTGGTATTGAGGCCGTGAGCAGGCAGCCAAGCTCCACTTTGGCCTGGGCCAGCGGTGAGTACAGCAGCAGGGGGAGGGCTGTGCTGGGCCGGGCGCAAATGCTGGCCCGCGAGAGGTTTGGGAGCCTGCAGTGGTGGCAGCGAGCTCTCAGGGAGCCTGCGAGCAGCTCTGCGGGCAGTCACCACCAGCGCCGGCCTCGGCCCTTGCTGCCCCCCAGCTCCCTCACTCCTGCTCCTCCCTGACCCCAGCGCAAGCTCCCCCCCAGCCCCACTGACCTCCCCTCTCTCCCCTCTTCCAGATCATGGCTTTGGCGTTTTTCTTCGCCTTGTTGGCGCAGAGAATACCATTAGTTGGTGATTTGGATGTGGACACGCTCGACCGCATGCAGCAGCGTGAGGTGTATCTGCAAGAGCAGATGACAAAGCTGCTGCTGGAGATGGAAGAGAAGAACACGGCGCTGAGCACGATGGGCACTCAAGCCCTGCTTCGCTGCTTTGTTTTTTGTCTTCCCATCCTTCTGTATTGCTTCATGTGGATGATCTGTATAAAGTTCCGTAGAGTTGAAGACACCTGTGATGAGGAGAGCTCCAGCATTGAGAAGGAGCAGGAGGAGGAGGAGGAGGAGGAGGAGGAGGAGGAAGAGGAGGAAGAGGAGGATGACGGTGTCTTTTCTCTCGATGTGTTCTGGACAGTCCGAAGCCATCAAGAGGACTGTGAAGTGATGTACTCGCTGATGTGTGGCGTCATGGATATATGCCGAAATATGGTATCAGATACTTTCTACCCAGTGCCAGAGCGTCTCATCAAGGTGGGCAGTACCTTCGAAGGCTGGTGTCCCGTTAGAAACGTACCTGTCTTCAGCCTGCTTGTGCCCCTGTTGGCCCCCCGTGGGCACACTTTCCACCTGGATCTGGGCACCACAGGCGAGGTACCAGCAATGTACTCCCGTATCCGTGTAGAGCTGGAATGCACGTGCAAGAGGGAGCAGGAGATGCGCATGCGGTGCTTCCTCCACACCTCCGCCAAAGAGCTGAAAAGGCAGCAGCCCAGCCTCCTGCACAGCCTCTGCACTACGTCCCACTTAGACGCGCAGAAGACTGCCCGCTGCTTCCAGGAGCTGATCAAAAAAGCCTGGAAACTCATGCACGTCTCAGAGTTCACCATGGAGATAGACACGGTGAAGTCCAGGCGCTCCTGCAGGCTTCATGTGAGAGATGTCAACAAAAGAATCTTCTACGTTGAGTTTGTGTTTGGCGTCCAGCAGGATGATACGGACATCTTTCTGAGCAGCCATGAGATAGTGTATCGTCGTACCCCCAGCACGGTCTGGCCACAGAGCTGTGTTGTGGCAGAGAAAAAGTTCCTGCAGTATGTAGCCAACCACCCCCGGGGGGGCAAATTCTACCTCAGATATCTGCAACTGTGTGGCTATCTCATGGCGAGCCTCAAGTTTACCATCTACGACATGAAGACAGTGATCATGCACCTCCTGAATACCATTCCTTTGCAAAGGTGGCACGGGAGGGCTTTCCTGCTGCGGATGGATGACATCTTGAACTACCTGCACTGCTGCGTGGAGGAGAAACGCCTGGACCACTTCATCGTAGGAAACGACTCGTTGCCTGAGGAGATTATCTTGCCAAAAGAGTTCCGAGCTTCCCCACCGCTCAACATGTTCCAGCACCTGGAGGAGGAACCGGACAAATACGAGCGGGCGCTGCAGGATTTGGCGGAGCTGCACGATCGGTTCACAGCCACGCTGCTCTATGGGAGATGAGAGACGCGCACTGTCCCACGGACGAGCACGCAGGGCATGGAGAGGACACCGCTCCGTAGGCACTGGGAATTGCCCCGAGGTGTTTTCTGCGAACTGGGGCAGCCATCTCCTATGGGATAAAGAAGGTTGTTGTATTTCTAATAAATGGCAAAACTCAACAATAACTTGAGCCAGACCTATACACTCACAATCGCCTAGCCCTCACATGTCACCAGTCTTGGTTACGTGGGGAAACTGCTGTGTTGCGCGGGTGTAAAAGATGGTAAGCACTTAAAGTCTTTTCTTCCGCACCAAAGCAAAGGAGTCAGCAGCTCTTTCGAGCTTGAGGCCCTGTTGCAACAATTGGCGCCCGAACAGGGACACGGGAAAGAGAACCAACAGGGACCTGAAACTCAACCTGACTGGAAGACTGGCCGGTCTGGAGTGCGTTGAGCAAAACGCGGAGCACGCTGAGACAAGCGTGGCAGGCGCTGAGAAGCACAGCAGGCATTGAGAAAAACCCTGGGCTCTCACTTGTGCTGACAGCTGGCAGTCCCGTGGAGGAGAAAGGGCACCTGGAGATTACTCAGATGGAGGGACGTCACCTGCTCAGTCTGTAGGCTGGCAGGATTCATACTGCTACCCTGGGACAACGCAGTACTGCCTTTCATGCCAATCCCTAAAATCCTGTACAAGGAAAATTCACCTTTTCCTTCTGTTTTTATCCTGATGTATGCCCATGTTTGGTGTGTTAGTGAAAAGCTCGGAAACACTTTCTGTCAACCTGAATCCCTTCCTAGCTCCTCCCCATTTTGCAGGGGTCAAGTAGCCCAAGAACATCGCCTTCACCTTCTCTGTGACGAGTGGGCTACACTTGGCACAGAAAGCCCATCTGGATGAGATGACCCTGACTTAATTCTGCATGGCTCTGAGTTTGTCTGTCTCCCTCCCCTTTCTGCACCATGTTGGCAGCGCAGCTGCAGAGCTGGGGTCGAAGTGCTCTGTGCACCGTTTCCATGGAGGAATCTCTCCCTGAGGACAGGGCGATCTTTGCGCAACAGCAGTGGTCTGAAGCGTCACTCCCTGAGTTCAGCATTCGCTTCTTACTCTGACCTTCACAAAAATTTTAGCTAACCCCTCAACTACACCGGCTAACTCCCATTCGCCTAAGTTTGGTACACCTCCGATGGGTTCACTGGTGCCTGCCAAGCTACACTGGCCGTGAATTTGCTTCTCTGATTGCCTCACGTTTCTCCGTGTCTCAGAGGCACAAGTCTTTGTAGGCACATTGTTAATTCAGGCGTAGGTCAGGCACAGACCACACAGTATATTCCACCGAGCACCAAGTGCAGGTTGCGATGAGGTGGGTGTCTGCCTCTTCCTCCAGATAACTAGCGATAGAACAAGAGGCAATGCTCCTAAGTTGTGCCAGGGGGTGTTCAAGTTGGATATTAGGATAAATTTCTCCTCAGAAAGAATGGTAATGCATTAGAACAGACTGTTCAGAGAGGTAGTGGAGTCACCGTCCTTGGAGTATTTCAAATAAAAGATTCGTGTAGCACTGAAGGTTGTGATTTAGTGGGCATGATGAGAATGGGTTGCCGATTGGACTAGGTGATCTTAGAGGTCTTTTCCAGACTTAATCACAGAATCACAGAATTGAAGGGGTTGGAAGAGACCTCCAGAGATCATCGAGTCCAACCCCTCTGCCAAAGCAGGTTCCCCACACCAGGTCGCACAGGCAGGCATCCAGGCAGGTCTTGAACATCTCCAGAGACTCCACAACCTCCCTGGGCAGCCTGCTCCAGAGCTCCGTCACCCTCACCGTAAAGAAGTTCCTTTGCACATTTGTGTGGAACTTCCTATGCTGCAGTTTCCAGCCGTTTCCCCTTGTCCTGTCTCCATGTACCACTGAAAAGAGACTGGCCTCACCACTATGGCCCCCACACCTCAGATATTTATAGACCTGGATCAGGTTCCCTCTCAGTCGTCTTTTCTCAAGGCTGAACAGACCCAGTTCACTCAGCCTTTCCTCATAGGAGAGATGCTCCAGGCACTTCACCATCTTTGTGGCCCTCCGCTGGACTCTTTCCAAGGGATCCCTGTCTGTTTTGTACTGGGGAGCCCAGAACTGGACGCAGTACTCCAGATGAGGCCTCACCAGGGCAGAGTAGAAGGGGAGGATCACCTCCCTCGACCTGCTGGCCACGCTCTTTTCAATGCACCCCAGGATGCCATTGGCCTTTTTGGCCACAAGGACACACTGCTGGCTCATGGCCGACCTGTCATCCACCAGGATGCCCAGGTCCCTCTCCGCAGAGCACCCCTCCAGCAGCTCATCCCCCAACCTGTATTGGTGCATGCAATTATTCCTCCTTAGGTGTAAGACACTACGCTTGTTTTTGTTAAACCTCATCCGGTTTTTTTCTGCCCTGCTCTCCAGCCTGTCCGGCTCTTGCTGAATGGCAGCACAGCCTTCAGGCGTGTCAGCCAATCCTCCCAACTTCGTATCATCAGCAAACTTGCTGAGGGTGGCCACTATCCCCTCTTCAAGGTCACTGATGAAGATGTTGAACAAGACCGGACCCAGCACAGACCCCTGGGGGACACCACTGGTTACAGGTCTCCAGCCAGACTCCGCACCGCCAACGACGACCCTCTGAGCTCTGCCAGTCAGCCAGTTCTCAACCCACCTCACTGTCCACTCATCTGTGCCACACTTCCTCAGCTTTGTTATAAGGATGTCGTGGGGGACAGCATCAAATGCCTTGCTGAAATCAAGGTGGACTACATCCACTGCTCTCCCCCCATCCACCCAGCCAGAGACAACATCATAGAAGGCTACCAGGTTGGTCAAGCACGACCTCCCCCTAGTGAACCCAGGCTGACTACTCCTGATCACCTCCTTTTCTTCCAGTTGTCTGGAGATGACATCCAGCACAAGCTGTTCCATCACCTTTCCAGGGACAGAGGTGAGGCTGACAGGCCTATAATTACCCGGATCTTCCTTCTTGCCCTTTTTGAAGACCGGAGTGAAAAAGAGACAGGAAGAACATGGTGGTGGTGAATGCGATAGGCAGCGCCAGCAGGGCGTCCCCTGCTTCAAGCTGCACTTTTCCTCTCTCACCCATCACAGATTCTCTCGTTTTTATTCTTCTCAGGGTCCGAAGGGTATTTGTACACTGCATCCACATGGGAAGTGCATGATACAGAGCCCAAGTGGAACCCCTGCTTGCAAAACAGAATAGACTATCAAGGTTAGCTCTCTTAGCGTGCGCCTTTGTCTCAGGTGCTGCATGGTTTATTTTAAAAATCCTGATTAGTGCGATGACAGTTAATCATTCTATAATATAGGAATCCCTTTGCTTGGGATTCCTTTCCAGGTTTTGTCTTTGCAGATCAAGAAAAGGCTACTGGATAGGCTGATGGCATCATAACTGAGCGTTACTAACACATTAAGAGAGCTATTCCCGTAGATTCCAGCATCAGTAACATTAAATCCTGTTTAATTCACATACAGTCTACTACTAAAATAAAAGAAGCATACAACAACCTAGATATCGCCTAATAACTCTAATTCTTGAGACTGCATTGATATCACAAGAAAATCACCCACTATATCATGCCACTATGACTGTTGCTATTTGCGATACAAGTTACAAGTTACACTAACTAAGAAGCACACAATCCCAGACATCATAAAGACTGGATGCTGTTTTCTGCCTTGAGATGAGACCGCACGTATCCTGCTGTAACCCAAGTAGGGCCAGTGCCCCTGGAAACACAAGCATATCCACAACCCCAAGTTATCAGTGGTAAGGGACCTTCCCAATGCCCTGTGGCCATATTCCGAACGTTGACCATTGGCCGTTCCTCGAGCACTGGGGAGGCCCCAAAATGATGATCCCCACGAGCTGTATCTGTGTAATCACGATTCAAAAAAATTCAGCACAAGCAAAGCCTTATGTAATCTTTCTTGTGGTGTGTCTCCCGTATTCCCCCTTTTTTGTTCATTAGGAAGAGATTTCAATGCTAGATGAGTACACTCAATGATAGCTTGTCCAGTGGGAGAACGAGGAATGCCTGTAATAAGCCTAACCCCCCCCATTCCTGGAGGAATGTTCGTGCGCCCTTAGAAGTATACGCAGCTCCGGTACCGTCTTCAACCCAGCAGAGAAGCACCAACGGCCGACGGGGCGGCGGAAGGCAGCGCCACGGCGAGCGTCGGGGGTGGAGCCGAGGGCAGCAGCGAGGGGGGCGATGGGGGAGGAGTGCGATTTCTCTTCTCCGCGGTTGGCGGTGGGTCGGAGCCGCGGCTCGAATCCGGAGCGGGGTTGCTTTCTGCACCGAGGGGGAGCGGCGGGGGTGGGAGGGAGGGCGGCGGGGAACAGTCGGAAGAAATTCTTCCTTGTCGACTTTGTTTAAGCCCTTCCGTGGTTTGGTGCCAAACAGGTAAAAGTTTAGCGGCCGTTCTGTCTTTAGTAATAGAAGCTTTCCGGAGTTTTGTGCCAAGTTCGTCCCAAAGCTCTCCATCAGAAGAGAATCCAGTTTTCGGGAATGCAGGGACATTTTTGCTTATCCATTCGAGAAAAGTAACTAAGTAGCTAAGTAGCTGCGGTAGACACAGACTGCTTCTGAAACGTTAAAACTAACCGTAATGCTGCAAGATTTACTTGCTGCTCCTTCGTTAGCCAGCTGCCCGCAGTTCCCGCCAAAGTCTCCGCAGTTGGGTCGGGCGGCGCTGCCGGGCCGGGCTGGCTCAGCCTCGGCTCGATTTGCCCCACACGGTGGGCGCCATTTGCAGCGTCTGATGCGCGGACTCAGATGCAAATGATTCAAATCGTTTATTACAAGTTCTCACATCACTTGTATACCTTCACAAGCTTTCTTTTTCTAGCTTTCCCATCCACCTTTACGTTCAAGAGCGTTGGTTCTACAAAACACTCTTCAACCGTTCACACAGGCGCTTATCCAGTCAGAGCCGTGAGACGTTCTTTCTTCTTCTAGAAGTGCCCTTGGTTCTCATGCTGTATATCTTGCTCCACAGCTTCTGCACTGAACAGTTTTTGTTGTATTCCCACAGACCCGTCCTCCCAGCTTCTTATCATAGAATCTTCTTATCATAGAATAGAACTTGCTGCGGAGACCAGCTTCAGGGCAGGGAAGCAAGGAAGAAGAAAGCCAAAAAGACCGCCTAAAAGCTCTTTTTTGGGCTGTTTTGAACCAGCCAAAGCACTGTGCTGGTGCTGGTGCTGGCGGTGGCAGCAGCAGCTGACAGCTGGTGGGCGGGCTGCTGAGGTAGCAGAGGTGGAGCCGGCACCGCTCACTCTTATCTCTGTGATTAACCTTGGCTCTTTTTTTTCCGTGAGGCTATAAGCGGCCCCTCGGTCCCGCCCGCCTTCCGTACGTGGTGAAAAAAGGTGAAAAAAAGGTTGTCGCTGCCCACTGCTATCTGCTAACAGGGAGGGCAGGCAGTGTGTGAGCGCAGCCCCCGCTGCCCATTGCTGCACGCGTAAGTGTGGGAGGTGGATCTTGTGGCAGGGCACGTAACTGTCAGAGACTGTAAGTTCAAACATGGTCTCTTCCAGACGGCGGGCTTGCTCCAAGAAGACTGTGGCAACCCAGACAGAGGGACTGCCCAAAACTGTGGCGGTTCAAGTCTCTGGCTGCAGGGAGCGTCTGAGTCTGCTGCTGCCGGGGGACGATGGGAGGGATGCCACCTGCGTGAGGTGCGAGCAGGTGGATGAGCTGCTCAGCCTTGTGGTGGAGCTTAGGGAGGAGGTGGAGAGGTTAAGATCCATTAGAGACTGCGAGAGGGAGATAGACGGATGGTGTAACTCTCTGCGGGAAACAAGCAGAGATCGCAACCCCCAGGGTGTAGTGAACCCTCTCCCTTGCCGTAGTCAAACCAAGAGAGCTGACTTGAGAGGAGGGGCGGAATGGCAGCAGGTCCCACCTCAGCGACGCAGGCGGCGCCCTTCCCGACCTACCTCGGTTCCTCAGGTGCCTCTAAGTAATAGGTTTGAAACCCTGGAACTGGAGGGTGAGGAGGCTGAGAATGAGGCGGTAGAACAGCCTCCGAGATTTCCTAAGGAGAGGCGGTCGGCTCCACGCTTGAAGACCGCCTCTTCCGGTAAAGAAAGGAGGGTGATAGTTGTAGGTGATTCCCTTCTGCATGGAACTGAGGGCCCGAGATGTCGACCTGACCCCACCCAGAGGGAAGTGTGCTGCCTCCCTGGGGTACGGGTCAGGGACATCTCTAGAAAGCTGCCTGGGCTTATTTGCCCATCTGAGTACTATCCCTTATTGGTAGTTCAGGTGGGCAGTGATGATGCTGCCAAGAGAAGCCTAAGGGCTATTGAGAATGACTTCAAGGGTCTGGGGAGGGTACTGGATGGTGCGGGAGTGCAGGTGGTCTTCTCTTCTATCCCTTCAGTGGCAGGGAAGGACACTGAGAGGATCAAAAAAACCCTCCTCATCAATAAATGGCTTAGGGGCTGGTGCAGGCATAAGAACTTTGGTTTTTTTGACCATGGGGCAATTTACTCAGCTCCTGGCATGACGGCTGCAGATGGAGCTCACCTGTCTGCAAGGGGTACAAGGATCCTAGAATCAACGAGGAGAGGGGTACTGATGGACCTTATTCTCACTAACAGAGAAGGGGTTGTCAGGGAAGTAAAGGTCGGGGGCAGCTTGGGTTGTAGTGGCCACGACATGGTGGAGTTCAAGATCCTGAGTGGAAGAAGTAAAGCAAAAAGTAGGATTGCTACGCTGGACTTTAGGAGAGCCAACTTTGATCTCTTCCGGGACCTACTTGGAGCTATCTCATGGGCTAGGGTGTGGGACAGTAAGGGGGCCTGTGAGAGCTGGTCGGCATTTAAGCAGCTCTTCTTCCAAGCTCAGGATCGGTGCATCCCTATGAGGAAGAAATCGGGAAAGGGTGGCAGGAGATCTGTGTGGATGAGCAAGGAGCTCGAGCACAAACTCAAAGGAAAGAAGAAGGCCCATGAAATGTGGAAAAAGGGTCTGACCACTTGGGAAGAATACAGGAATGTTGTCAGGGTCTGCAGGGATGCGACGAGGAAGGCTAAGGAAGACTAAGGAGAATGTGGCTCCCCTGCTAAGTGACGGGGGTGTTCTGGTAATGGGGGATGCTGAGAAGGCGGAGATACTGAATGCCTTCTTTGCTTCTGCCTTCAGTGAAAAAGCTCCCCCTTGGGAATCCGAGACCCTTGGGGTTAGTGAGAGGGCCTGGGGAATGGAAGACCTCCCTTCAGTCAGGGAAGAGGTGGTCCGAGAGCACCTATGCAACACCAGTGTTCACAAATCCATGGGATGCATCCACGAGAGCTGAGGGAGCTGGCAGAGGTGATTGCTGAACCGCTTTCTGTCATCTTTGAGAGGTCTTGCAGGACAGGGAGGTGCCTGAAGACTGGAGGATAGCCAATGTCACTCCGGTCTTCAAAAAGGGCAAGAAGGAAGATCCGGGTAATTATAGGCCTGTCAGCCTCACCTCTGTCCCTGGAAAGGTGATGGAACAGCTTGTGCTGGATGTCATCTCCAGACAACTGGAAGAAAAGGAGGTGATCAGGAGTAGTCAGCCTGGGTTCACTAGGGGGAGGTCGTGCTTGACCAACCTGGTAGCCTTCTATGATGTTGTCTCTGGCTGGGTGGATGGGGGGAGAGCAGTGGATGTAGTCCACCTTGATTTCAGCAAGGCATTTGATGCTGTCCCCCACGACATCCTTATAACAAAGCTGAGGAAGTGTGGCACAGATGAGTGGACAGTGAGGTGGGTTGAGAACTGGCTGACTGGCAGAGCTCAGAGGGTCGTCGTTGGCGGTGCGGAGTCTGGCTGGAGACCTGTAACCAGTGGTGTCCCCCAGGGGTCTGTGCTGGGTCCGGTCTTGTTCAACATCTTCATCAGTGACCTTGAAGAGGGGATAGTGGCCACCCTCAGCAAGTTTGCTGATGATACGAAGTTGGGAGGATTGGCTGACACGCCTGAAGGCTGTGCTGCCATTCAGCAAGAGCCGGACAGGCTGGAGAGCAGGGCAGAAAAAAACCGGATGAGGTTTAACAAAAACAAGCGTAGTGTCTTACACCTAAGGAGGAATAATTGCATGCACCAATACAGGTTGGGGGATGAGCTGCTGGAGGGGTGCTCTGCGGAGAGGGACCTGGGCATCCTGGTGGATGACAGGTCGGCCATGAGCCAGCAGTGTGTCCTTGTGGCCAAAAAGGCCAATGGCATCCTGGGGTGCATTGAAAAGAGCGTGGCCAGCAGGTCGAGGGAGGTGATCCTCCCCTTCTACTCTGCCCTGGTGAGGCCTCATCTGGAGTACTGCGTCCAGTTCTGGGCTCCCCAGTACAAAACAGACAGGGATCCCTTGGAAAGAGTCCAGCGGAGGGCCACAAAGATGGTGAAGTGCCTGGAGCATCTCTCCTATGAGGAAAGGCTGAGTGAACTGGGTCTGTTCAGCCTTGAGAAAAGACGACTGAGAGGGAACCTGATCCAGGTCTATAAATATCTGAGGTGTGGGGGCCATAGTGGTGAGGCCAGTCTCTTTTCAGTGGTACATGGAGACAGGACAAGGGGAAACGGCTGGAAACTGCAGCATAGGAAGTTCCACACAAATGTGCAAAGGAACTTCTTTACGGTGAGGGTGACGGAGCTCTGGAGCAGGCTGCCCAGGGAGGTTGTGGAGTCTCTGGAGATGTTCAAGACCTGCCTGGATGCCTGCCTGTGCGACCTGGTGTGGGGAACCTGCTTTGGCAGAGGGGTTGGACTCGATGATCTCTGGAGGTCTCTTCCAACCCCTTCAATTCTGTGATTCTGTGATTAAGTCTGGAAAAGACCTCTAAGATCACCTAGTCCAATCGGCAACCCATTCTCATCATGCCCACTAAATCACAACCTTCAGTGCTACACGAATCTTTTATTTGAAATACTCCAAGGACGGTGACTCCACTACCTCTCTGAACAGTCTGTTCTAATGCATTACCATTCTTTCTGAGGAGAAATTTATCCTAATATCCAACTTGAACACCCCCTGGCACAACTTAGGAGCATTGCCTCTTGTTCTATCGCTAGTTATCTGGAGGAAGAGGCAGACACCCACCTCATCGCAACCTGCACTTGGTGCTCGGTGGAATATACTGTGTGGTCTGTGCCTGACCTACGCCTGAATTAACAATGTGCCTACAAAGACTTGTGCCTCTGAGACACGGAGAAACGTGAGGCAATCAGAGAAGCAAATTCACGGCCAGTGTAGCTTGGCAGGCACCAGTGAACCCATCGGAGGTGTACCAAACTTAGGCGAATGGGAGTTAGCCGGTGTAGTTGAGGGGTTAGCTAAAATTTTTGTGAAGGTCAGAGTAAGAAGCGAATGCTGAACTCAGGGAGTGACGCTTCAGACCACTGCTGTTGCGCAAAGATCGCCCTGTCCTCAGGGAGAGATTCCTCCATGGAAACGGTGCACAGAGCACTTCGACCCCAGCTCTGCAGCTGCGCTGCCAACATGGTGCAGAAAGGGGAGGGAGACAGACAAACTCAGAGCCATGCAGAATTAAGTCAGGGTCATCTCATCCAGATGGGCTTTCTGTGCCAAGTGTAGCCCACTCGTCACAGAGAAGGTGAAGGCGATGTTCTTGGGCTACTTGACCCCTGCAAAATGGGGAGGAGCTAGGAAGGGATTCAGGTTGACAGAAAGTGTTTCCGAGCTTTTCACTAACACACCAAACATGGGCATACATCAGGATAAAAACAGAAGGAAAAGGTGAATTTTCCTTGTACAGGATTTTAGGGATTGGCATGAAAGGCAGTACTGCGTTGTCCCAGGGTAGCAGTATGAATCCTGCCAGCCTACAGACTGAGCAGGTGACGTCCCTCCATCTGAGTAATCTCCAGGTGCCCTTTCTCCTCCACGGGACTGCCAGCTGTCAGCACAAGTGAGAGCCCAGGGTTTTTCTCAATGCCTGCTGTGCTTCTCAGCGCCTGCCACGCTTGTCTCAGCGTGCTCCGCGTTTTGCTCAACGCACTCCAGACCGGCCAGTCTTCCAGTCAGGTTGAGTTTCAGGTCCCTGTTGGTTCTCTTTCCCGTGTCCCTGTTCGGGCGCCAATTGTTGCAACAGGGCCTCAAGCTCGAAAGAGCTGCTGACTCCTTTGCTTTGGTGCGGAAGAAAAGACTTTAAGTGCTTACCATCTTTTACACCCGCGCAACACAGCAGTTTCCCCACGTAACCAAGACTGGTGACATGTGAGGGCTAGGCGATTGTGAGTGTATAGGTCTGGCTCAAGTTATTGTTGAGTTTTGCCATTTATTAGAAATACAACAACCTTCTTTATCCCATAGGAGATGGCTGCCCCAGTTCGCAGAAAACACCTCGGGGCAATTCCCAGTGCCTACGGAGCGGTGTCCTCTCCATGCCCTGCGTGCTCGTCCGTGGGACAGTGCGCGTCTCTCATCTCCCATAGAGCAGCGTGGCTGTGAACCGATCGTGCAGCTCCGCCAAATCCTGCAGCGCCCGCTCGTATTTGTCCGGTTCCTCCTCCAGGTGCTGGAACATGTTGAGCGGTGGGGAAGCTCGGAACTCTTTTGGCAAGATAATCTCCTCAGGCAACGAGTCGTTTCCTACGATGAAGTGGTCCAGGCGTTTCTCCTCCACGCAGCAGTGCAGGTAGTTCAAGATGTCATCCATCCGCAGCAGGAAAGCCCTCCCGTGCCACCTTTGCAAAGGAATGGTATTCAGGAGGTGCATGATCACTGTCTTCATGTCGTAGATGGTAAACTTGAGGCTCGCCATGAGATAGCCACACAGTTGCAGATATCTGAGGTAGAATTTGCCCCCCCGGGGGTGGTTGGCTACATACTGCAGGAACTTTTTCTCTGCCACAACACAGCTCTGTGGCCAGACCGTGCTGGGGGTACGACGATACACTATCTCATGGCTGCTCAGAAAGATGTCCGTATCATCCTGCTGGACGCCAAACACAAACTCAACGTAGAAGATTCTTTTGTTGACATCTCTCACATGAAGCCTGCAGGAGCGCCTGGACTTCACCGTGTCTATCTCCATGGTGAACTCTGAGACGTGCATGAGTTTCCAGGCTTTTTTGATCAGCTCCTGGAAGCAGCGGGCAGTCTTCTGCGCGTCTAAGTGGGACGTAGTGCAGAGGCTGTGCAGGAGGCTGGGCTGCTGCCTTTTCAGCTCTTTGGCGGAGGTGTGGAGGAAGCACCGCATGCGCATCTCCTGCTCCCTCTTGCACGTGCATTCCAGCTCTACACGGATACGGGAGTACATTGCTGGTACCTCGCCTGTGGTGCCCAGATCCAGGTGGAAAGTGTGCCCACGGGGGGCCAACAGGGGCACAAGCAGGCTGAAGACAGGTACGTTTCTAACGGGACACCAGCCTTCGAAGGTACTGCCCACCTTGATGAGACGCTCTGGCACTGGGTAGAAAGTATCTGATACCATATTTCGGCATATATCCATGACGCCACACATCAGCGAGTACATCACTTCACAGTCCTCTTGATGGCTTCGGACTGTCCAGAACACATCGAGAGAAAAGACACCGTCATCCTCCTCTTCCTCCTCTTCCTCCTCCTCCTCCTCCTCCTCCTCCTCCTCCTGCTCCTTCTCAATGCTGGAGCTCTCCTCATCACAGGTGTCTTCAACTCTACGGAACTTTATACAGATCATCCACATGAAGCAATACAGAAGGATGGGAAGACAAAAAACAAAGCAGCGAAGCAGGGCTTGAGTGCCCATCGTGCTCAGCGCCGTGTTCTTCTCTTCCATCTCCAGCAGCAGCTTTGTCATCTGCTCTTGCAGATACACCTCACGCTGCTGCATGCGGTCGAGCGTGTCCACATCCAAATCACCAACTAATGGTATTCTCTGCGCCAACAAGGCGAAGAAAAACGCCAAAGCCATGATCTGGAAGAGGGGAGAGAGGGGAGGTCAGTGGGGCTGGGGGGGAGCTTGCGCTGGGGTCAGGGAGGAGCAGGAGTGAGGGAGCTGGGGGGCAGCAAGGGCCGAGGCCGGCGCTGGTGGTGACTGCCCGCAGAGCTGCTCGCAGGCTCCCTGAGAGCTCGCTGCCACCACTGCAGGCTCCCAAACCTCTCGCGGGCCAGCATTTGCGCCCGGCCCAGCACAGCCCTCCCCCTGCTGCTGTACTCACCGCTGGCCCAGGCCAAAGTGGAGCTTGGCTGCCTGCTCACGGCCTCAATACCAGCCCCGCACTGTGATGCACCGCGATGTCACAATGCCCCGGCCCCACCCTTCGGGCCCACTCAGCTGCCCAGGGCCCCATGGCCCTGCCATCGGCCCTGTTCTGAGGCACGTGGCCGGACTGAGCCCCCACGGAGCGAGCTCAACAGAGGTGCTGACTCCTTTGCTTCGGTGCGGAAGAAAAGACTCAAAGTGCTTTGCATCCTTTACACCTGTGCAATTCCCAGTGCCTACGGAGCGGTGTCCTCTCCATGCCCTGCGTGCTCGTCCGTGGGACAGTGCGCGTCTCTCATCTCCCATAGAGCAGCGTGGCTGTGAACCGATCGTGCAGCTCCGCCAAATCCTGCAGCGCCCGCTCGTATTTGTCCGGTTCCTCCTCCAGGTGCTGGAACATGTTGAGCGGTGGGGAAGCTCGGAACTCTTTTGGCAAGATAATCTCCTCAGGCAACGAGTCGTTTCCTACGATGAAGTGGTCCAGGCGTTTCTCCTCCACGCAGCAGTGCAGGTAGTTCAAGATGTCATCCATCCGCAGCAGGAAAGCCCTCCCGTGCCACCTTTGCAAAGGAATGGTATTCAGGAGGTGCATGATCACTGTCTTCATGTCGTAGATGGTAAACTTGAGGCTCGCCATGAGATAGCCACACAGTTGCAGATATCTGAGGTAGAATTTGCCCCCCCGGGGGTGGTTGGCTACATACTGCAGGAACTTTTTCTCTGCCACAACACAGCTCTGTGGCCAGACCGTGCTGGGGGTACGACGATACACTATCTCATGGCTGCTCAGAAAGATGTCCGTATCATCCTGCTGGACGCCAAACACAAACTCAACGTAGAAGATTCTTTTGTTGACATCTCTCACATGAAGCCTGCAGGAGCGCCTGGACTTCACCGTGTCTATCTCCATGGTGAACTCTGAGACGTGCATGAGTTTCCAGGCTTTTTTGATCAGCTCCTGGAAGCAGCGGGCAGTCTTCTGCGCGTCTAAGTGGGACGTAGTGCAGAGGCTGTGCAGGAGGCTGGGCTGCTGCCTTTTCAGCTCTTTGGCGGAGGTGTGGAGGAAGCACCGCATGCGCATCTCCTGCTCCCTCTTGCACGTGCATTCCAGCTCTACACGGATACGGGAGTACATTGCTGGTACCTCGCCTGTGGTGCCCAGATCCAGGTGGAAAGTGTGCCCACGGGGGGCCAACAGGGGCACAAGCAGGCTGAAGACAGGTACGTTTCTAACGGGACACCAGCCTTCGAAGGTACTGCCCACCTTGATGAGACGCTCTGGCACTGGGTAGAAAGTATCTGATACCATATTTCGGCATATATCCATGACGCCACACATCAGCGAGTACATCACTTCACAGTCCTCTTGATGGCTTCGGACTGTCCAGAACACATCGAGAGAAAAGACACCGTCATCCTCCTCTTCCTCCTCTTCCTCCTCCTCCTCCTCCTCCTCCTCCTCCTCCTGCTCCTTCTCAATGCTGGAGCTCTCCTCATCACAGGTGTCTTCAACTCTACGGAACTTTATACAGATCATCCACATGAAGCAATACAGAAGGATGGGAAGACAAAAAACAAAGCAGCGAAGCAGGGCTTGAGTGCCCATCGTGCTCAGCGCCGTGTTCTTCTCTTCCATCTCCAGCAGCAGCTTTGTCATCTGCTCTTGCAGATACACCTCACGCTGCTGCATGCGGTCGAGCGTGTCCACATCCAAATCACCAACTAATGGTATTCTCTGCGCCAACAAGGCGAAGAAAAACGCCAAAGCCATGATCTGGAAGAGGGGAGAGAGGGGAGGTCAGTGGGGCTGGGGGGGAGCTTGCGCTGGGGTCAGGGAGGAGCAGGAGTGAGGGAGCTGGGGGGCAGCAAGGGCCGAGGCCGGCGCTGGTGGTGACTGCCCGCAGAGCTGCTCGCAGGCTCCCTGAGAGCTCGCTGCCACCACTGCAGGCTCCCAAACCTCTCGCGGGCCAGCATTTGCGCCCGGCCCAGCACAGCCCTCCCCCTGCTGCTGTACTCACCGCTGGCCCAGGCCAAAGTGGAGCTTGGCTGCCTGCTCACGGCCTCAATACCAGCCCCGCACTGTGATGCACCGCGATGTCACAATGCCCCGGCCCCACCCTTCGGCCCCACCCAGCTGCCCAGGGCCCCATGGCCCTGCCATCGGCCCTGTTCTGAGGCATCTGAGCATGTAATAGCCTAGCATAAGATCACAGAATAAAAAACATAGTGACTCATGCTAGGAGACTGAATGTGCTGACCACAGATATGAGTAAGAGGTATTTATAGGAGCACTATAAGAAAGTGTAAAAATTAGGGTCATCTAAGAGTTCTAGTTCTAAGCACAATAGGAAGTACAACTGCTACCGCATGACAAGGTATTTCTGTGGCAACTGATAGCATTTCCATTAATCTGGAGTTCATTTCGGGCTATAATCAGCCTGAGGACACTGAATGCACGAAGCTGCAGCAAGATAACGAATGCCATGAGTAGAAAAAGAATATGTTTGTACCATGGGTACTATGGGATCAGAAGGGAGCAAGAACAGGGCTGCGGCTGGGTTGTCCCAGCACGTTGTGTCCCAGGCAGGAAATGCTCCCTGCCCTCCATTACCGGATCTCGCTGCATGGATTTCCCTGCAATAGACTGTGTAAAAAATGCAGTTGTGAGAAGTCTGCATCACTTCTCTTTCCCTGGTCCCATAGCTGCGTCACTGGTTGTGTCCTGGTATTGGAACAAAAGATATTAACTACCTTACCAGACACGCAACCTTCATAATTACCAGAGCACTGGCCAGTCCCTCCAAGGCTTCCGCTCACCCTGCCAATAGCCCAAGAACCCATTTCAACCTACCTGTACTTAAGCTCAGTTCCAAGGCTGTCAGTCAGCCTGCACAAATAGTAAACATGCTATATTCTCCAAGGCAATCAGCTCCAGCGCAGGAACATTCTGAAATGGAGCAGCATAATACCCTAATATGTACAAAGGCAGCCTCAGGGATGGAGTGACCAGGAACGTGGCAATCAGCACGTGGCATATCAGTTTGGTCTTGGTGTGGTAGTTCGTGCAGGAAGGACTAAAGGCCTGAAGGCAGAGAGGGGTATTGTGGGTGCAGTGTGCTTTGCTTGATGAACTTTTTGAGCAAATGGCTGAATTGCATGAAGAAATCACCTGGATGAGTAGTATTCAGAAATCAGATAGGTAGAGATTGATGCCTGGTGTTGCGCAGTGACATGGGCAGACTGCCAGCCCTGTCTTAAATTCCTGCAAGAGGAGGAAACTAAACTAGATTCCAACTTTGAGAAGACAGACCACAGAAACACACAAGACAGGGGAAACTGGACCTTCGTCTCTGCTTAGAGCACGAGTTGTCTCCTCCTGTAGTGCCCTTAAGCAACAGATGCAAGGGCCCGGGATTGGAAAAAGGTGAGGGCACGGGTAAATGATTTAGACTCAGGAAGAGACAACCACATTAAGTTGCTCCAACCAAGGACCCAATTTAGAATCAATGCCACCAAAAACAGGCAAAGGATGTTAGTAACTGAGGACTCCTCGCTCAGAGGTACCCATTTGTCCGTCGCCCAGACAATAAGAAGAGGCTACTGAGTCTTATAAAGCCAGAGGAATACGATCCACTCCTGCTTCTTCAAGTTGGGTCAGCTGAGGCTGCAAGAAGGAAATTTCAAATATTAAAAGAGACTTCATGTTCCTTGGAAGGATGTTGAAGGAATTGGGAGTATGGGGAGGGACCTCCCAGGGGACCTCCCAGGGACCTCCGCCTGGGAGCCAGGTAGAAGGAGGAGAACAGATCAGTTGAATGACTGGTGTGTGGGTGGTGTCACATTCAAAGTTTTGGGTTCCGTGATTGATGATGTCTTTTTGAGAGACCAGGCACGTTGACATTGGATGGGATGCAGCTGACCAGTGGAGCAAAAACATCCTGGGCTGAAGATTCAGTGAGGGAAGGAGATGTACTTCTGAGTGACAGGGAAGAGGCAGGGAACACTGTCACTTTAGAAAGCAGAAGGGGAAAACCTCCGATTTTTCCCAGAGGGATTCGGGAGGGCTCCTCCGAGAACATAACATGGCTGATAGCCCGGCTGAAATGCCATTACTTTAATGCAGGCTGACTTAGAAATTAGCAAGAGGAGCTGGAAGTCACTGTGCAATTAGAAAACTGTGACCTAATTGGTATCATGAAAACACGGTGGGACAAATAACACAACTGGGACACTAAAATTGAAGGTTAAAAGCTTTTTGGATGACAAAGACAGAGCAGAGGGGCAGAGGAATTGCCTCTATGCTAGGAGATGAATAGATTGTGAAAGAGCTGTCTCTAAAAAACAGCTGTGATCATATTGAGAGTCCAAAATAAGAATGAGGAACTACTAAACCAATAAAGAGAGCATGAGAAGAACATGGCTCCGTTACCCACCCTGGTTAAACAACTGCAAGTGAATTCAAAACTCTCAGCATCTTCTATGAGATTCATGTTTTTCCTTCCATCTTACTGAGAAAAGAATTCTTCTCTGTTACCCGCATGCCTGCAGTCTGTAGATGAGGAAATACAGTATTTGCATACATAATGGTGTTTCTCTCATCTCACAGAGCTGGGAGTCTGAGAGACATGAAAAGGTAAAGCTGCAGGTGCTCTTATTTACAGAACAGTACAGAAGCCGATGAGATCTGAGGAAAAAATACACCTTCCACACTCTGTAGCTTCAAAAGAAGTGAAAGGAAGTCAGATCCGGATTCTACAAGCCCTTTTCCAGTAACTTTAATGAAAATCTTTTCATTTTAAAGGTGTTGCAGAGCTACTTAGTTTCATTCATAGTTTTCCTGTTTTCCTCTGAGGTAAAACAGATTTATGTGTGAAAGGACAACCTGCACTTGTCAGAGTGGAGCCATCTGCCGTTTCTTGTTTACATCAGCTCCATGAAACCAGCCTCCAAGCCTCTGCATTTTTTTCTATGTGCTGATACCAGTATGACTTTTCTGTAATTAATTCTTTCCTGACATTGCAGGATCACAGGATAATTCAGGTGAGAAGTGACCTCGGCAGGTCCAACCTTTTCCTCAAAATTATATCATCTCTGCGGTCAAACCAGGTGTTCAGGACTGTATCCAACTGGGTCATAGAAAACACAGAAATGGAGATTGCAGAGCCTCTCTGGATCCTCACATCATTTTCCTCAGAGTTGCTCCACAGTTAGTCAGTCCTTGCTAAGGGTTCTGCTTTCCTTGGGGCATGACTTTGCACTGATCTTTGCTGAATTTCATGAAAGGGGGTATAAGAAAGAAGGGATCAGACTCTTCAGCAGGGTCTGTTATGACAGGACAGAGGGAAATGGTTTCAAGCTAAAAGAGAGGAGATTTAGATTGGATATAAGGAATAAATTTTTTTCAAAAAGCGTGGTAAGGCACTGGCACAGGTTGCCCAAGGAGGTGGGAGATGCCATGGAGACACTGGAGATCAAACTGCACGGGGCTCTGAGCACCTCATGAGGCTATAGGTGTCCCTCCTTGCAGAGTGGGACCTGATGGCTTTTTAGGGCCCCTTCCAACTCAAACGTTTCTATGATTCTATGCTCCTCTTGGCTCTTCCCAGTGGCAGTCCTGACATTAAGCACATTGCCTGGTTCTCCTAGTTTGCTCTTTGCAGGTCTTCATGATCATTCTCTGTCCTACAAGCAGATTAGTGAACTGCAGGAGAGCAGTCCAGCTGCATTTGCCCGATGCTGCCCCTGAACACAGAGCAAGAAGGGCCTTTGTGAGCCTTGGGGCACAGTTCTAGGCATCAGTTGGAGGCGGAGAAGGGAAAACAGTGTTTTTCTCCAAGAAAGCTCCACTGTGGGCCCTTTGAGGACTGTCCTCACCTGTGCCTAGAGCCTCTGGTGAGTGTTCCTTGAGCAGGAGGAGATGGCCACCTGCCAGCTCCTAACATCCTGACTCATTTTTCCTGAGAACTCAGCAAGTCAGAGTTTCACAGACAAGAGGAAATCCCTAAACAGCATGCAGCCCAGAGAGTGGAAAGGGTTGGTTTTGGTTTTTTTTTGCTTGTTTTTGCTGTTGTTGTCTTTGTTTTAATTTTGTTCTTTTTTTTTTCTTTTTTCTTTTTTCTTTTTTTTTTTTTTTTAAACTCCCAGCCTCCCCTTGAGTGTATTTGACAGCTCGCTGTCCCTGTCAGCCCAAGATCCCAGTGGAAACAGCAGCTGGGAGGGCTCTTCCTGCCTAGGGGAGGCTCCTCAGGAGTTTGTGGGATTTACCAATCTCTCCCTGTCCCTTACCAAGGGCCATGTGCAGTGGCAAGCTGCAGACAGGTTTGCTGGTGGGCAGCTACTTCGTCTACTTGCTGGTGGGTGCAGCGGTGTTCCAGGCACTGGAGAGGACTGCCGAAAAGCAGCAGAAAATGGCAGCTGCTCAGATGAAGGAGGCTTTTCTGCAGAATTTCACTCACCTCACAGTGGCAGAGATGGAGCAGTTTATGAAGGTGGGTGCCCGCCCCGTGCAAGCCCTTTCTCCTGCCCATTTCCCCCTCAGATGTTATTTCCTATTCATCCTTGCTGCAAAGATAACTCTCTCTCTGTGTTCTTGCTGGTGTGTTCATCTGGATTATTTTTGCAAACCCCAAACCCGTTCCCTGGTTTAAGGAGGTAGATCATACTGATCTGTACACAAGTACAAGTTGATGTGGTGTGATAAAACGTTGTGTGTCAGCTGTTAACACTCCCTGCTCTAAGATGGCTCAGTTCTTTGGGTTTGTGCCTCCTGCTGGTACATCTTTCAGTGGGGCTATGCTCATCTCCAGTGGGTGGCACAGCAGAAAAATGAGGCTGTCTGAAAATGATGGAAGTGGTTGCCACACACAGCACAAGAGAACAATGTAGCAAACCCTGAAATAATCTGTTGGAGGAAAATAAAGATGCTTAAATTCCTACAGGAAGCATAACACAGTCAGGGTTTCTTTCTAGAAAATGCTGGGGGTTGGAACTTGGTGATCCTCGAGGTCCCTTACAACTCAAGTCATCCTATGATTCTGTGCTGCAGAAGTTAAATAGGCAGCACAGTCAAGAGAAAGGAGCTTCTAGTCACAGCATGGGAAACTGAGATTGACTACATTTCTCACTCCATCATAGATGTTTCTTAGCTGCATTTGCTACAGTGCAAAGGAAACAAGGATTGCAAATAGCCTTGCCAGGAAGCATGTCTGCACGGGAAAGTAACGGAGCTCTTAATGAGCGTATTTTGAAGATAAGGAGAGAAGGGAGGGAACCACTATTTCTAAAAATGCAAACAGTGGCTCAGCTCAGAGTTCACATGTGCATGCATCCCCTTCATCGTGGATTTTATTTTATTTTTTTCTTTTGGAGGGGGGGGGATGGGTAGGAGAGAAGAAAAAAAAATAAACTTCTTCAGGACAATCCTTGTGCAAGGGTTGCCAGGACTTACGTTAGCCTTGACTTTCTGGGACTGTAGTAAAATGGTGAGGGAAGAGGAGTTAAAGCCTTCCTGGTGCAGTTTATTTCATCTAATACCTTGTCTTTGCTTGGGCTCAGCCTTGGTTTTGTTTCTGCTGCTTCTGTAGAAATCAGTCTGCATCCCAGATGTCTAGATGAATGTCCTCTGCTTGCTGAGGCAGGCCAGTTGGATACTGGGTTTCTTTCTTGTTGTTTTTCTTGTTTTTTAAGACTCAGAAAAACCAGCATCATTTAGAATGAAATCCACAGAAGGAAGGGGACTGAAAATGCATAGAGTTATTGATGATAGGGCTGGAAGGGCTTGGGAGATAACACCCTGCCACAGGACAGTCTCAATTCAACCCAAGCCTTCTCCAACAGATGTTCACTGAACTTCATCTTGAAGGCTGCATTGTCAATATTGTCCAGGTTCACGCATGCCCCTTGCAGAATGCTGTACGTCAGGCTGGATTCTGATTGTAGTTGCATCAGTATTAATGCTTTGCAAACCAGTGACTTTATAAATATGTAGCTCCAATGAGACTACAGCCTTAAAACTACATTTTGTGTGTGTCACGTGTACCCAGCTGTAACTCACTAATGCCTGCATACAGGTGAGCAATTAGATCCCAGCTGCACCACTAAAATCTCAAGGGCAAACTCAAAACCAGGCGCCCCATCAGTTCAATTGGTGGGCTGCTTTGTTCTGCTGTGTCTTCTGTAGATCCCTTCCCTCCCCCCCCCTCAAGTACTTAGCCTGCAAGAAGCAAGGTCTTTAGGGGCGAACTTCACACTGAAACAAACAAGTTCTCCTAAAAGCCATAAGAGCACTCAACATAACTGCAGGGCAAAAGGCAAACTTTCAAAAACCTGCCAGCTAACCTTGGCAGCAAAGGTGTGAGTGGTGTTAGAGCATTAACGAAAACAAAGTGAGTGGTGTTCACAGGAAAGGAGCAGCAGTTGTCTTAATCTGTAGCACTCATTCAGCAAAGACTTGAGAAAAGCAGTTGCGTTGATTAAAAAAAATAATAATAATGCCTTCCCTTCCAGAACCTGACTGAAGCAATTCAGAACGGAGTTTACCCTATTGGAAATGAATCACAGACTGAAAACAGCAACTGGGATTTCAGTAACTCCTTCTTCTTTGCAGGCACAGTGGTCTCCACAATAGGTCTGTTCTGTGATTCCCATATTTGTGTGTGTGTGTGTGTGTGTGATGTTTATGTCTGCTTACTAGGACCTAAACTTTCAAGGATAGAAAGTCCAGTTCTTTATTGGCTTGCATGGGAAGCAGCTACTGACATGGTCCTGAGCCCTCACTGATGCCCAAATCTTTGTGTATTACTTTGAATTTTAAAATACCAATAGTCTTTCATTTTGATCTTTTTTCTTTTTCTTTTTTTTTTCCTCACTTGTTTCTTCTTTTCAAGCCATCTATTAAAATCTTGTTCTGCTGTCAGTTGTGGGTAGAAGATTTGACTGTCCAACATCTGATTTTTATTCTATGGTCAGACAGGCTTTAAATCTGGGAGTGGAGTAAAGCATAAAAGAATGGTATGAAATAAGTGAACTTTGCTGGGAAGGAAGAAATGAGAAGAGGACAAGGCAATTTCTAAGACTTTTGCACTGCTTCTTCAAGCTATTCTGACCATCCCAGGGGCTGCTTGCCCCTCCCTGCCTCTCCCTTTCCCTCAAATATGCATCCCAAAAAGCAAAGGCCTGCAGAATTTGAGTATGCTTATGGCTGCTGCTTCACACTGTCATGCAGTGAGGGTTAAATGTATGTTTTCACAAGCTGAGGCCTCTCCCACTACACCCTAAGCACAGCTGTGCCTGTCACCTGTAAGTGTGACATGTCTTGGGTCCCTGTGGTGCCCCAGCATCGTGGCAGGTGTGTTGGTGTTGCATGAACCCATATTTCTTGCCATAGAAGAAAGGGGATGTAGAGACTTGAGCATAGTGTTTTCCAGCAGTTTGCACTCATCTGCTGGAACCCTTTTAGTATAACACAGAAAAATTCTTCAGGAGGATCTGGAGAAGAGAAAGAAGAATCGCTTGCCCCTGTTGATAACATTGTCCAAACACCACCAAAGAACTTGAACTGAAAATCAAATCTCACTGATTTTTTTTATTTTTCTGCTCCTCAGCACTGTGGATATAAGTCAGACTCCATCAGTGTTGAAGAGGTCATTTTATTATAGAAAACTGCTGAGTACTCTGGAAGCCTCCTGACCCATCACATGAAAGACAGACATTTCATGGAAACAGCAATATTTACATATTAATAGCCAATCCATTCCTTGCCATTACCTTTATTATTGTAGTTTTTTCATTGTGGCATTTCTCTCCCAAGCAAAAGGGTTTCTTCCCATCAAATTTGTTTCCCCACTGAGCGAGAAAGGCTGTCCCAGGAAAAGTCCCATTTGCTTGTTTCTCTGCCCCCTTACTGCATAGGTCTCTTAGTGAGGTACTTTTACCCATCTTCACCTATCTTGGCTTTGCTGCCATGAAAATGCAATATTTGTGCAACAGGAAGCACAAAACACCTCGAGCATCTGAGTCTTAGCAGCCAGTTAATCACTCAGTTGTTTTATTTGTCATCTCCCCAGAGGAAAACATGCAGTTTTCCAAATAATGGATGTCTTGAGTTGAACTGTGCTCTGGAAAGTGCTTTTTCTCATGGTGAGGATAAAATAAGGACATACACAAAGTACAGAACTCTAGCACTTAAAGATGTACCTCATGGGGTCTAAGAGCAGCAAAGCCTACAGTCCATTAAAGGATATGTTTGGAGTTCTGCAGCTGTTGTTCCATTACTTATCTAAATCCTCTTGTAATAGAATTTTAAGAAAATCATCTCTCTGGCATGAATGAACTGACTACCAGTAAGGTCTGGGTTAATTAGTGCAAGGTACTGTAATGCACCCTACAGTGTCTCAGCCAGTATCTGGACGTACCAACCTGCAGGCATTCAGCCACGGAGGTCACTAACACACAGGCATATCTACAAGAAGGCAGATTGTTTGATTCTGGCATGAGAAACAGCCTGAGACTCTAGACTTGACATCTTCCAGGTCCCCAGCCTTCTGGTTTTTGTCTTCCTGTGTATTTCTCACGGGAAATGCGTATTTTCCATAACTGCTTTTAGATTACGCTTTCATTCCCATTAAGGCTTGGTTGTAAGAACAGCACTCTGCATCCCACAGAACATCCAGGATGAATCATTTCTGCTTTCTAGTTTTGCCAGAGAAAAGTGAGTATGTAGGCTAGGAAGTGCTAGCCACATTTTCTGGAAACAAAGGCAGGCCAGGCTTGGTTGTGTGTGAATGTGATCATGGATTGCTCCAGCTCTCTGGAATATCCCCTCTGACATATCTTTCTTCTCATAGGTTATGGCACACTACGTCCTAAAACTGTTGGGGGCCAGATCTTCTGTGTCTTTTTTGCTCTCTTTGGAATCCCTCTGAATATTGTTTTTCTGCACCGTGTTGGTAAGATCCTCTCACTGCTGTGTAAAAAGCTGGGGAAATTCCTGTACGAAAAAGGAATGAGAAAGGTAATTGGTTTTACTTAGGCACAGTGACATGCTAGTTTCTAGGCTTTTTTCCAAGATACATCCTGGCATTATCCTCTGTTACGTTTCTCTTGCCGTGTTGGGCATTGTGCTAGGAGAGGAAAAGAAGTATTCTTTCCCTGCAGAGCTAAGCAGAGGAGGCAAATAGAGGAGGTTTTCAGAGAGGGGAATACGCTTTGCCTGTTCATCTACATAGCATGTCTGAGCCCACTTCAGCAATCAGTGGAAAGAGAGAGAGAGAGAGAGAGAGAGAGAGAGTGCTTCCTTCCACTTCTCTAGACACTTATCTCAGGAGCTAACACTAGGGAAGTACCTGCCCCTCTTTATTGGCAGCTCAGAGATAGGTGATCTAGCATCTCACCTTGAGAGAAGAGAGCTGTGAAGTAGCTGAGCTGTAGGAGTTTCAGTAGAGGCTGGCTCAGTGCTTAACGTGTCACCCCTCCTTATTCGTTATGCAGTCCTTTAGTCCCTTTCCGCATTTGACTTCTACAGCAAGGAAAATTGAGGCTCAAGTTGCCCATTTGAGCCCAGCTGCTGTGAGGTGAGGAGGCACTTGCAGGGGGCTGGAGGCACGGTATCCTGTTCTGGTTATGGCCCAGGTTATTGGGAGCTTCTCACAGTCTCTCAATGCTTCTGATGAAGTGATAATGGCTCTTCTGTGTCTCCTGCTGTAATTCTCTTCATTAGGATTAGGTATGAATGTTACAGACAACCCTGATCAAACTGTTCAATGTCCTCCTGTGTCTGGCAAACTTAAGTAGCATGTAAGGCTAGATTAGATGTTGAATCTAGCACAAGCACAACACATAAAGGCATGAGAAAATACCCAGCAGTTGCCATTCATTTCCAGACAATCTGGACTTAAAAAATGTGCATATAAGATAGATGTATCTGGTTGAAAAATCTTACTGTCTGACAAGTCTTTTTATCCAACCATAGTTTCTTCATAGCTGCTTGGTGGTAGGATGGTTCAAAAGTCACTGGCTAGACACTTCTTCATCAGGAGTTTGTTTGTTAAAGGTCTCCTCATAGTCACTTATCCACTGGGTAGGATTTAAGTTGTGGTACAGATGCAATGATAAAGTTAACAGTCAAGACTCTGTAAGATACTGCAAGCAATATTGGAAATTATTTTTTTAAACATCTATTTTCCAAGGCAAAATTGAGTGTTCTTGGGAATACCTGAATGTCTGAAAGCTAGCTAAAAGTGATGTCGTTTGGTGAAAACTGGAAATGGCCTAATTCTGGTAAAAGTCATTGGGAATTCCTTCCGTATGCGTGGGCATTAAAGGCTAACAGAGTAAATAAATTAAAAAAAAAAAAAAAAAAGACTATATCTCTCAGGTTTATTATGGATATGGAACACCTTTAATGCATAGATTCCCCCTGCTTCATGGCAACACACAGTGATTATAGAAGGTATTCCTAGGTGGTCACCCATTTTGAATACCAAGAGTTATATATGGCCTGCTAGTGTGTCAAATCATGATTGTAATTTAGTTGTTTCTTTTTCAGAAGAAGATCAAATTTCTGACCCTTCTGTTCTTCCTTGTGACTGGGATCCTAGTGTTCCTATGTTTGCCATCACTGTTCTTCCAGATCACAGAGGGTTGGTCCTACAGTGAAGGAATTTACTTTGCATTTATCACCCTCAGCACCATTGGCTTTGGAGATTACGTAGTAGGTAAGATTGGTTTCAGAGAGGAGGTGCAGCAAAGCACCAGGGTTGCAACTTTAATTACTGTGGGTTGACCGCACAGGTCATCAATGTACTCTAGAGACAAATCTTCTGTCTAGTCTTTGACCAGTCTTTGCTTTGTAAGATTTTGGAGGAAATACTTGTCTTTCTAGGATTTCATGAGCTGATGAAAGCACAGAGTTGTATAAACGTAATGAGATGGGGTGCAAAAAGCCAAATATTTTGGGGAGGGAAGGGTAGAATTCAACAAGCCTAGGAGTTTGCATATATGAAAAGGAGATAGTTGTGACTGCCATATAAGATTCATATCCCTGCTTTAGCCACCTAAGACTTACATTTCAGAGTATACAGTAAAAATATAAGTGCTTGTGTTTCAGAAGACATGATTTTACAGAAGTCCAAGAAGTAGAAACTATAGTCACAGGACAGTGGGAAAATCTACTCATGAAAATCTATGAGAAGTGGATCTTAAATAGGTACGTCACTTTAAGAGCAGCCTTCTTTAGTATCCTCATGCACTGCTGCATGTGCTGTGTCTTCCCAAGTTAGAGCTTAGGAGGTTCCTCTGATGTCACACCGTTGAAGCCACACTCCAGCTTGTTGGTGTGCTTCTCAAAACACTGTGTGACTCTGCTGGTCAAAATACACTCTGAACAGAATCAGCTTCTAGAAGAAATCCACAGTGAAAACCAGGAGTCAAGTGTGTGTCCATGGGAGAAGCAACAGAACACCTGGATTCCTTGAAGTATCAAGGATTTCTCTACAGCAACCTGTTCTGCCAGCATCTCTCCAATACAGGCTTTTCCTCGGCACTGGTACAAGAAGGAAGCTTTGGAGCTAATACTTGAGTTTTGCAATTACAAGAGCAATAGCCCCAGAATAGCTACTTCAATAGCACTTTCCTCAGGTGTAAACATGTTATTTTACAAACACGGTTAAACGAATTAGACGAGCCTCCTGGCTCTGTGAGTTCTTCTTTAAGATGATTTAACTGGAGCTGCAGTATTTTTTTCCTGCAGTAGTTTTCAAACAATGGCAGTAAAATGCCTCAAGTTGTGCCAGGGTAAGTTTAGGTTGGATATCAGGAAAAACTTCTTTGACAGAAAGGGTTGTTATGCACTGCAATAGGCTCCCCAGGGAGGTGGTTGAGTCACCAGCCCTGAACGTGTTTAAAAACTGTTTGGATGTGGTGCTCAGGGACATGATTTAGCAGAGGGTGGTTAGAGTTAGGGTAGTATGGTTAGGTTGTGGTTGGACTTGATGATCTTGAAGGTCTTTTCCAACCTGAGCAATTCTATGATAAGTTTTAATGCCACACACAGCTTCTGAACACAACAATCAGAATGAATGTTCTTCATCTTATGTGTTTAGAATTGATTACAAATGACCAATAGTTTTGTGCTGACCAAATGGAAGAGGACAGGCATGAATTTATTTGCATTTTAGTAATTCTGATTTTTGTAGCTGCTGTACTTCAAGGATGAGATAAAGCCTGTTTTGTATGGGGAGAAATCCTAGGAAGTTGACAGTCCTGATTCAGCTGTTCTCAGCACGTGTACACATGGGTGACATTTCTAGGGTGAAACTCCCCTTGGTCTGTGAACCAGCTTTATGCCTTACTGATGTTCAGCTTTGAGTTAACGCTATGTAGATATTACTAGCTGCTTTGCAAACAGTGTTGAAGTCCTAACCCCACATGATGAACTTCACACAGAACAGAAAAAGAGATGCTTTACAGGAAGCCTGACAGCTTCTCTACCTGACAGCTTCTCAGTCCCAGCAAAAGAAATAAAACCAGCTGTCGGTTATCTATTCATGATTACAAACCAGCTCACTGCTGCCCCATTTCCAGAGCTTTGCATGATGAAGTACAAAAATCCAACTAGTTGATTTATTTAATGCAAAGCGCTGCAGGACATGAAATGGGATGCCAGCATCCTGATCTCTTCTGGGCAGCTTCAGAATGTGAAATGCTCCACCAGATTGTGGTGATCTCCCTGTCCATGCATGTTGCTGTTATCTCTGCTATATGGATTCACCCTTAACAATGACTTGCAACATTCACCAAGCAGCATTACCAAGTTTTTGTGCTGATGCCTGGACCGTATCATTTCAACAGAGGGGAACTAGATGCAGTAGGAACAAATGCTTTCTGAACATTGCTTGTGGATTGCTGACGTCTGAGCAAACAAATGAAGTGACCCATGCAGAAAAGTGGGTGTGTAAGGGTAGGTGATGCTAAGTGGTACAGTCTGCATGAAATAAGCTCCAGTCCACTAATTGCCAACACAGAAACTTGTGTTCTTGGCAAGTAGTGAGTTCTCATCAGTCATCTACTTTATTAATGGAAAATGCTCCTGAGTCCATTCAAAAGTCAAGTAGGAATTGCAATTTCAATTAAGCATATCAATAATTTAGAGCAATTACCTATCAGGTCATAATTGCATTTTACAGAATCACAGTAACTTGCTTGGAGGCCAATCCACACCAATCTCAGTATATCTTTTGGAGAGACCATCATGTGTGCTAACATATATAAAATTGAAGACACAAGAGACTCAGTCAGCCTGAATCTAGAACACGCTTTCCTCTGACCTGGAGTACTGCTGTTGTATTTTATACATTGCATACTGTAGTATTCCATCACAATGAAAGTCACCTTGAAGCATTCAGTGTAAAATACATTAATTGAGTCCATTAGGCTTGCCTGTTTTACACAGGCAAGGCCAGTTTAATTTGTTAATTTTCTCCTCCTTTCTCTCCCCCTACCTGCAGGTAAACAACCTGGCAGGATTTATTTTTCCTACTACCGAACAATTGTGGCCATTTGGATTCTTTTTGGACTTGCCTGGATTGCTCTCCTATTTAATTTATTGACAACGGTTCTAGAAGATACTGAGAAAATAATTGTCAAGGATCTTCATCAAATTGGAAAGGTGGGTGAGGATAATGCAGCAAGCCAACCAAGAAGGTGCTGGCCTGTTCAGTTTATTCCAGAAGAAGAACTGATAGCACCTCGTGCTGAAGGGGATGCCCAGAAAATGGAGTCATTAGCAGCAGAGGGTGGACAGGAAAATGGAGTTAGTAGCAGCAGGTTCTGAACAAACAAAAAATGAAAAAGTGTTTTCTGATAGCCAAAAATACTGGCCATATGCTTTAGCACAGACATTTAATTCTTCATTGGAAATTTGCTAGTGCATTATTCTAAAGAAATTCCCATGGAAATTAAGTTTATCCCACCTTTTGCTGAAGTATGGCCATTTAGAGCTCAAGACTTTCAGTTACACAGAAACACAACATTAATGATATGAAATTTGCTCTACAGTTTGCAGCCATCTTGTGCTAAAACATTACAAGTGCACCCATTTTGTGAGGCTTTTTTAAGATGCTTCCATGAAAATGCAAAGGAGGGGTGTGGTAGAGCTTGCTTACTGTATTTGGATTTTGCTGCTTGTAAAAAAAAAATCACATCTCTTCTTGGAGCTGACATGTACAAGCTTTTCTGAGTTTCTGAGTAATACCAGCACCTTTGGAAGAAGAAGAAATAAGGGCATATAACATGCCTTGATTTGAGACATCACATAGGATGAACTGGCATGATCTGAAAGCTGTGTTTGAAGGACAAGACCTGGGCTCAGTGCAGAGATGGATGAGCAAGGTTAGAAAAAGGATACCTGTATTATGATTAATTCTACATATTCCTGATTTACGCTAAGATGAATAAAAGCAACTTCATTTCTTATCCCTGCAGCTTTGAAAAACCTTTCTGATGAACATACAAGTTCAGATTTTATAATGATTATATTTCATAAGGATTTTACAAGATCAGAAACATGTTTGAATGGAGGAGTCCTCACTGCATCAAAGCCTTGCTTCTGTTTGTGCTCCACAGGTGCTAAGATGTCATTAAAAAGCAATCCTACTATGCTGTGCTAAAGTACCTTTCCAAGTGCTAGTGCTGTCTAAACACTGCCATCTTGCCTTCAACCAGGGAGAGAAGGATGACAAACTTGTGAATGGTGTTTTAGATGTACTGCCAGTCAGGCTATCCCTAGGTGAAGATCCTGGCATTCAAATGGGTTGATCACTCCATCAGGTGCCTTATGTGTGTCAAGAGTACAGGAGAACTCTGCCATGAATTTCTTGCAGTATCTCTTCCAGAAGCTGGTGGCTCCCCTGCTGTCCGAGCAAGAGGTGGAGTAATGTGTACTTCAAAGTCTGCAAACCTGTCCACCTCACATCAGCACCCTCAAGACTCTCTCAAGGCAGTCCATACACTCAGCACATGGAGTGCTTCCCTCTGCTTGGTGCTGAACCTGTTGCTTCACAGGTTTTCACGATCCTGAGTTTCTGTTTTGTCAGGCAGTGAATAATTGCACTTGGCTAACCCTCCGGGTGTTAGTTTTAGCAAAACCAACTCTTGCCAGAGCTATTCCTGTACAAAAGGGAGAATAAATTACAGCTGTAAAGCAATTCTAGGCCGTAAAGATGCAATCAGCCTTGAACTCATATCTTTTTCAGTCAAACAAACCCACAGTTCTTGCCAAAACAGCCCTGCTGGTTCAAGATCTGGCATGTAGACCCGACCAAGTATGTACTTTCTTTCCCTCCACAAATTATTTCCCAGTGTTAGCCTCAAGGCTAACTTCTAATCTAACATCTCTCCTTCTCAGGAAGCCTTTCTGAGGCAGCAGGAACAAGAACTGCCCAAAGTCAGGGCAGGGTGTCATAGCACACAGCAGTCCCCATGTGTGTCCCTCGCAATCCCTATGCAAGCTGTTGCTGTCACAGCACAACATCCTGGCCAGGCAGAAGAAACAGTTGCTCCCAGACAGGGATCTTGTCACCAACTTATGCTCTCTCAACAAGCCTTGGCTTATTTTCAAAGTGTGTTTTCTTCTCTACTGCCTTTGCCTAGTCCTTCCCACGGGGACCATTAACCCCATCCTCAATCTAACAGAGATGCTATGAGGGCTGGTTTAGAGAGGTGTGATCTGCCTTGAGCTGTGATGGCCACATTGCATGGCCTCGTTGTCCCTTCCAGGATGGTTCCTGATGTCTCCCAACCTCAAGGTGTGTGTGTCGGTTTCATAGAACCATAGAATGATAGAATGGCCTGGGTTAAAAAGGACCATCTAGTGCTCAAGGTTAGAGCATCTAATGCTCATCCAGTTCCAACCCCCTGCTGTGTGCAGGTCACCAACCAGCAGCCCAGGCTGCCCAGAGCCACATCCAGCCTGGCCTTGAATGCCTGCAGGGATGGGGCATCCACAGCCTCCTTGGGCAACCTGTGCCAGTGCCTCACCACCCTCTGGGTGAAAAACTTCCTCCTAACATCTAACCTAAACCTCTCTTGTCTCAGTTTAAGGCCATTCCCCCTTGTCCTATCACTATCAGCCCATATGAACAGCCATTACCCCTCCTGTTTATACGCTCCCTTCAAGTACTGGAAGGCCACAATAAGGTCTCCCTGGAGGCTTCTCCAAGCTAAACAAGCCCAGTTCTCTCTTTCTTCATGCTGCTGGAGAGAAAAAGAACAGGGAGGGAAACATTCCTCCCAGAAATATCTTGAAGTCAACACCTTCTTCAGCATGTTTCCAGTGTCCCACTTGTTCCCTGTCATGACAAATCATAGAACCATAGAACATCCCCAGTTGGAACAGGTTGCCCAGAGTGGTTGTAGATGGAATGCTTCCCTGGAAGCATTCAAGGCCAGGCTGGATGGGGCTGTGAGCAACCCAGTCTAGAAGGAGGTGTTCCTGCCTATAGTGGGGAGTGGAACTGGATAATCCTAAAGGTCCCTTTCAACCCAAACCATTCTATGATTCTATGATTCCATTCTAAGTTGGAGGGGACCCCCAAGGATCATTGAGTCCAGCCCCTGGTTCCACACAGCACCACCCAAACTCTACGTCCAGACTGATAACGTCCCACTGCATCACAGAGCAATCAAGGGTGTTTGTTCAGGCAGCTCAGGAAGGGCAAAAGGACCAGGGAATGTGGGACACAAGGCAGGAACTGCTGTCACAGAGCTGCCCTCCTTCAGACACGATGTAGTGAGGTGTCACTCCAGTGGGGCTGTGTATAGAGAAAACACATACACAAGCATAAAAAAAAAAAAAGCACCAAAGCTTTCCCTCAGGAGAAATTCAGGTGGCTGCTCTAAGAAAGCAATCAGCATGCTCCCAAATCCTTGCAGCTGCAGAAAGGCCTTTTGAGGGTTTCAGCTTGGTTTCTTGTGCCCTCTTGTGGCTGTGTGCTGCAAAGTCTTTTCTTTGCTTTTCTCTCCGGTGGGAAAGGAAAGGAGAGAAGCCCAAGAAAGCTGCGAGCCAGGGTGGGAAAAGAACATTTTTCGATACAGTGTTGTTTCTCTCTCGTGTTTCTGCTGAAGAATGAAGTCGTCTCCAAAAGGGTTTAGGCACAGCAACAAACCTCTCTGTGCTGGAGCAGCCTCCTCACTTCCAGCATTATCACCCTGCAAACAGTGCACAACCACGGCAGATCTTGTCCTCGCATCACCCCTAGAAGAGGGAGCTGTTGATTTCTGTGCAAATAGTAAGGCCTCAGAGAAAATCTAATGTGTTGCCTGAGCTCAGGCACAAAGCCTTTAACAAACACCTGGGCTGGTGCCCTCTCAACCCCAGGTGTCCTGGGATTGCCTACTGACTGATAAATCTGACCCAGCCAGTGTTCCTGTAGTTGCTAGGATTAAGATCATCTTGAGTTGACAGCAAAGTTAGAACAGAGTTTCTCCTCCACAGCCAGAGATTCGAAACGATTGCAAGGCTTTTGAGTATAAGCCAAGCTCTGGCTCTTCAGCACGTTGCTGATGCCCAAAGCAGAGAAAGCAGGAGTCAAATCCAGCCCCAGCTCCTTCTGTGCCAGCAGCCACCCTCCAGAGGGACTTTTCCCTTAGCACTCTGTGCATCCTGCAGCTTTTCCTGGCTGTAAAAGAGCCCTCACAGCCACCCAGCTCTGCTGTGCCATGAGGGGAAATCCAGCTTTCACAGACCACCGCTGCCAGCTCTCCCACTGCAGCTCTTTTTCAAAGCAAGGAACATTTCCAAGGCAGGCCAAATGCTTTCCCATACATTTAACAAGTTGCTGAAAAATTCCAGGGGTAGGATCGTGAATTATCTTGGATTAAACGGCAGCAGCATGTTCCTGCATTCAGGCTGAGCTGCTCCTCATACATCACCCACAGCCTTGCTGCCAGCTAGCAAACAGTGTGCATTTCTGCACTTGAAACCGAGGAAAATGCCATGAGAAATTATCTTTCCTTCAGAAAGAAGCCCCTGAGAAATCCGTTTGCCTCCAGAGAGAATACGAGAAACTGCACTTTGATCTGTCTTTAATTAGTATATGAGATTGTTTAGGGAACTTTTGAGGTCTCCTTCAATTAATAGTCTGTTCGTTTGGAGAGATTAGTTGTGATGGGTTTTTTTCTTTGTTTTTTTTTTTCTTTCTGGAAGCAGAGAGACTACTCAAATGGAACTGCTTGGCTAATGTAATATCATATAGCCAGCGGGATCTTTTCTTTTTTACAGAAATCACTAAAATTGGGCCACACACATATTATTTTCCATTCTGTCATACTTGGAGATGTGAATTCTCTCCTGACTTGAGCCCAAAAGGCTCTGCATCCAGCTCAGAAATGGTTCAACAAACAGAACTCCTCGCTTTCCAGAGACCTGTTCTCCATCCCTCATGATTGCACCCAAGAAAACAACAACAACAAGCAATCACCACAGAAGCCAGAGTTTTTTGGCTAAATTCCCTTGTATCGTTTCAGAAGGGTTTAAAGTGGCCTTGAAAATCATAGAACGGGTTGAGTTGGAAAGGATCTTAAAGAGCATTAGTTCTGCTGCCCCTGCAGAGGGCTGGCTGCTCCCCCAGCTCAGGCTGAGCAGGGCCTCGTCCGCGGCCTTGGGCACCTGCAGGGATGGGGCACCCACAGCTCTGGGCAGCAGTGCCAGGTCCTCACCACCCTCTGAATGAAGGATTTCCCCCTGACATCTAACACAAACCTCCTTTTAGTTCAAAGCCATTCACCCTTGCCCTATCGCTGCCTGCACATATAAAAAAATCGCTCTCCCTTCTGTTTGAAAGGTCCATTCAAGTGCTGAAAGGCTTCAAAGAGGTCTCCTAAGAGCCTTCTTTCTGCAGGCTGAACACTTCCAGCCCTCAGCCTTTCTTTGTAGGGAAGATGCTCCAGCCTTCTGACTATCTTTGTGGCCTTTTCTGGACCACTTCAACAGCAGGTCCAACATGATGTCCTGCAAGGTTTTGTGTCAGCTCTCATACTGTAAGGAAAGGAGAACCCGTGGGGGCTCCAGCATCTGTGGCTGAGGACTGGCCTGGGGCAGCACTGCTGGTTCAATGCTAGCAAAGCCAACACTGAGTTATTCTTGAGATAACAAGTTCTGGAGATAGTCAGAGCACCCATCCTTGCCTCTACTGACCTGCAGCCAGCCTCACCTCCACCGTGGGATATGAGCTCAAGCAGCACCGAAGCTGCTAAGAAAATACAGCCATTCCTATCTTGAGGGGTTCTGGACTTGATTAGGATAATTCTCCACCAGAGGTTTGGGAAAGCTCATTTTGCTGAGTTAAAGTTAGGGCAATTATCGAATCCATTTAATTGCCGGTTCAACATGATTTAGGAGACATGTCTCCTGAACAAATACTGTCCCAAATTTCTCTTTCAATTATTCTCACATATGTGGTTGGAAACTATAGCTGTATTTTTGTGGTAAGATGCCAAAGCATGAAATAATACATCCCCAGAAAGAGAAATATGCTGATAAGCAGAAGGATAATAATAACAACCACGCGTCATTAAAGAATGAAGGGAGTAACAATTTAAGTTAATGGCTTCCTTGAGAGGCACTAGCCAGAAAGACACTGCTATTCTTAAAGAACAAATGTGATTGGAGTTAAATCCAGTTTCTCAAAGACAACTGTTATCATAGCAAGGCACACAGAAAATCATGTATCAAAACCAGACAAGGACTTGTCAGAACTTCTGCTGAAAACCCTGCAGTTCATTCCTATCCACTTAAATGACTCACCGAGTGCCTTACATATACATCTATACATACACAGTGCATTTGCATTTCCTAAAAGTAGATAGAAATCAATAAGAGGTTATTTTACTGTGTCTGTAGAACTTTGGCCAGTTTCCCAATGGTTGTTTGCTTTATGGATCTTTTTTCTTTCTGCCTTTCTTTCCTCCCAGCCACCAAGTTGGTGATGGGACAAAGAGTGGGTAAATCAGAGCTCACCACTATTACCAGAATCTGTGAGTAGCTCCTAGAGAACCCCTGCCTAGTAGCAAGGTCTACCCTGAGCTTAAGTAGCGAGTGCAATAGCAATGCTGATAGCACAGTTTGGTGATGCCAAACAGCCAGAAACTGCCCAGAGGAAACCAAGAAGAGGATTTCCTAGCAGTGGTTGTGAAAGTGCAACTTTGCTTGCAGTAGGTCTGCAAAAAC